AAATATATAACATAACAAGTTAATATGATGTATTACAAAACATACACTAACTAGAGAAAAGTTTTTGTAATGTGCCAAGTTATAATAGGCCACATATAATACAAACATGACTGTGTAATTAAAATTAATTATAATGTTTAGTTTTCTCAGAGCGTATATGCATAGCTACAGCCACAGTTCAATGTCTGAAGTCTGAGGAAACAATGGTATATTTTCTTTGTTCATTAACTACTAGATGTTCCGGTAAACTATTTGCCATATAAATTAATATCGCTATTAAAAAATAAGAGTTAATCGTAGAAGGGAGAAATTTAGACTTCTATGTATTTTTAATGCCGATTTCTTAAAAAATAAACAAATTTCCCCCTTCCCCTTTCGTTTAGGGATATAAAAATAAATTAATCTATTCTCAGATTTACCGAATATACCTACATATAAAATTTCTTCAAAATCGGTTCAGGTTTAGGATTCCATCGTGGACAAACAACATGACAAGAAATTTTTATATATCAAGATAAGATTATAAAATAGATACCACTTGAATTAAGTCTAAAAGTATTGCACCATAATGATTATACTGTTACAGTATAATCATTTAATTACAGACAATTTAATATTTTATACACATAAGAAAAATAATCGATAGGAAAATCTATAACCGTAATAAAAATATCTATTACGGTTTGCTACATACACTGTACAAATTTACGTATCATCATGATAAGTATATATGTATATATATATATATACTTCATGAGGATACAAAATTTTGTAAATTATTACAATAAATACAGGAGCATAATAGATTTTGTAATTTTCATTTCATATAGTTGAAATTTCTGTGAGGAGCCCTTTAGGAGTAGTGTCTTAAATATAGCATTCTGATGACTGACTAACATAGGACATAGGTCCGTGATACCTTGATAATATCATGATTACGTAATATTATCTTATCAGTTGTATGATGCATTCGTCTGTGCTAACGATATATCATACACAGGAAGAATACTAGTGTAGAATGATAGAGGTACATGAAGTCACATTAAATAGACAATCCTGGCGAAGTCACCAGGAATTAACCAAAATGGTTTATAGAGATAATTGAAAAGAGAGTAGAACTCGATCTGGTTCGATGAGAACAATTGGTTCAGAACCCTAAAAATAGTCACAAACTTCGGAAATGATTCCAATACTAGGATAAACGGTTTTGAATAGGTTAAACTGTGGTAGACAAACAATAAATATATTTCTTACGTATCTATAATAAGTTCTTATATTATCTCTCGACAATATAACTGCAATAATATAATATAAATGATATAATTTCGATTAGTTCCGTTCGTCAGATTACATCGCAATAAAGAAATAATTTCTTAATAATTTTCATATCCTGGACGCATCATGTTTCAGGTTGACAACATTACTAATGTTATTAGAAATAATAAAATCCCATGAATAATTATAATTATAGAATTAAATATATATGGGGATCAGTGGATGATGATTGATGACATACTGCGCCGACCTCAAATAATGGGATAAAGGTAAGGCAATCATGATGTATGTAAAAGAGAAAGCTGATGTATACCCGTCCATACATATAACTAGTTGAAATCATTACACTGCTTTTAGCTTCATATTCATCGGGTAAAATAATGTCAACTCAAGCGAAATCTTCAATGGTAAAAGCAGGTGTTGGATCTAACAATGTTTACAAAATACTCGTCATGTTTATAAAAAGTTGAGATCATTCAGTGACTTCAAACATGTGAAGAATATAAAACACTTCAGAATACAGTTTTTTTTTTAGTGCATGATAGTTGTATGGTGCACCTGCCTGTGCTTACGGTATACGCCGGCGAGCCACCGGTTGGAGGTGATGGGATGAGGATAAAGAAATGTCAGTAAGCCTATCCCATAATGGGCTAACTGACCTTCTTGAAATACAAATAATCTTATTCAAACAAACATAATATAAGCACTTTTTATGTCACATTTTTTTTTATCCTGCACTCATTCGGAACATAGACTCATCAACAAGAATGAGCAAAAAACTTGTGTGTTGCTCTTTTCCTTAAATGTTGTTTTAAATAAATATACATTAAAAGAATTAGGCATACGACAATCAACATAGAAACCGCTACGCACTCAATCTTTGTTCAACCAAATAACATTGTAAGTGTTACGAAATATAAGTTAGTTTTTTTCTACAAAAAAAAATGTTATGATGGTTAATGTTAATTTGAAATAGCGTGCAGGTAGATTTATCAGAGTAATTTCAAGTAGACGAGGTAGGCTGCTATTTCTTAATAAGCCACGGCGTTGAAGTCTCGCGAAACAGTTAGTACACAATAAACTATTATCTAACATATATTGAACAAATCAATGACAATAATGTCATCGATTTGTTCAATAATAAAATCAATAAGTAACTGTCTGAAATATCCTCCTTCTCAATATCCTAAATATCTCCTCAATAAGGAATTGTCATATAACTTAAATGTACTTTAGATGTAAGAGTAAGTGTTATTTGTGTACAGATCCTTTTAATTTTAATTATTTGTGAAAACTTAACTGGCTAACTGTAAATTATATACGGTATTTATTAAATTTATTTAAGGAAAACATACAAATTTAAGTACATCTAAGTAAATTAGCAATATACGTGTATACCTAAGTGTTCTATATATTGCCAATTTTCTAGAAACTACTATTTAAAATAAATACCCATAGTTCTTACAGTTCATTGCATTGTGAATCCTATTGTAAAGCCGGAAAAAAACACACACAATTGCAAGAAATGAAACCATACAGGATGTGGATCAGACAGTAATTTAATACTCTGCTAATCTCTTTGACTTGGTCTCTGCTATTACTAAGTAACGGCTAATACGGTCCGACCATCGCACTGGGCGAGTATATTGGCAAAAATTCAACTACCTACATTGTTATACTAAAACCAGATCATATCTTTCGACACAGCACATTTTTAAGCCTAACCAAATTATTAATATACCTAATATAATATACCTATAAACTGCGAAATTTATCTAATATATAGTATAAATAATACATAAGTAGTGTTTGTCTATTGGTTTCTTATCCCGGTTTGGACATAAATCTTTAAAAAACTTATTTATTATTAATTTTATTTTATACATTTAAAAATCGATAAGAATTATAATTGTCAGAAAGCCTATTATTCTCTATATTAATCGTTTGGGAAACTACCTTGTCTGACGTTAGTTGTTCAGATAAGAAACTTTCGATATTTAAAATATATTAGACTACTACTTAAAATTTTTAAAGATGGAAACTGTTCGAAATTGAAAATTACACAAAATAATGTACCAATTATGTTTCTTACTAGTAGTTCTCAACTGAAGTGGCTAGCCGAACAGGATGGTAGGTATATACAAAAACAACTTACATACATAAGCGATCGAAAGTGTCATATAATGAATAAACAAGTTTTACTTTGACTTTGCGAAAGGTTGTTTTTTTTATATCACGTAATCAGAAGCACACTGACTACAAGTAACACATAACATGTCTATAATAATAACATTGCAATATAATACATAATCTTTAGGATGAATTTATCAGCACCAGATTATATAAAGTCAATATAAACTAGATACATTACAAGGTCATTACCGAGTCCTACATCACTGTCATTCACGTCAAGTATAAATGCAGTATGGACTAGTGCCAATTAAAACACTACAAAGTATAAACCTGTTTAGATCTAGATATATAGTAGATAATATTTAATAGTACCTATAGGAAGCAAAATATTATTTTTAACCGTACACCAATTAAATATGCACATATAATAAAAATGTTAATGATCACAGTATGCACTGGAACATATATCTACTCATTTGAAAAAAAAATATAGTATTAAGGGATCAATGTAATAGAGACCAAAAGACTTAATCCTAAAACGGCGTAACCGTTTTAGGTATTGTTTTCACTAGTGGAAGCTTATATGGGACCACAAGACATCCTGATCATCTGGATGAATGGCGGCTACAAAGTGCGATTTTCTAGACAGTTTTTACACCTTCCAGCAATGGTATTTCCAAACCAATACAATATTGAAACCTTCAAGATTTTCTTCCTTCTTAAAAGGCCGGCAACGCACTTACAATTGTTACCACTGGTGTTAGTTGCATGTGCTCATGGGCGACGGTAAACATTTGCCATCAAGTGAGCCGTAGGCTCGTTTGTCCCCTGTGCTATAAAAAAACACCGGATATGCACCAGCGTTTAATTTAAAAAATAATTATCATTACCAGCCCGACTTTCAACGGAACTTAGTACCGTAACAAGTTTTTTTTATCAGGAAAAAACTTACATATAAATCGTTTTATGTGCCTTCACTGATATAAAGGCTCATAAAAAGTCAAAGAGTCTTTATAGATAAACTATGGTGAGTAAAACGGGCGTGGTCTGTGACACAGGCGTTCTTATTCAGGGATTCCGATTTCATGAAGTTAATTTTCATTTAGCTATTAAGGTAAAATGAGTATCTAACGATATATATTTAATCGACTTTAGTATAGCATAAGTAGGTATTTAGACAATTATAATATTTGATGTGATTAAAATGCACAAAATTCATTCAAAATTGGGGAAAGTACGCCGCGCAAAAAATAACATGAAGGGTGGAACTTTTTACTGTAAAAAATCACTTTACAGTTGTAGTGTAAATATGTCACTATACGTACGAGTACCTACGTCTGTGTGGATAATAACTAACTCTCTTCACTATCATTTACTCTTTAACACTTTTGATACCAGACTAAATATTCTAGTGTTCATAATTTATTTCAATAATGAGTTCTATAAGAAATAGAATGTCTTGAGATTATTATTATTATTATTATTATTATAGAACTAATCATTATTCAAATATACTTAATATAAGCACTTCTGAATGGTAATATTGGATTCTACCAAAATAATTGTTTATTGATAAATAATGAAACAAATAATACTTTTCTTATAATTTATTGCATAATCAAATCCCATCCAAACAAGGTATTCAACAAATCTTACCAAGAACAATGAAAGCAGTAAGTAAACACTTGTACAATTCAATTTTTAAATCCAAATAGGTAAGTACTTCTAATCATACAGTGTTAAAACTACAAATAATAATTAAATATAACGTGCTAAAACCATACTGTAATACTAACTAATTTTGTGCCTACATCTCAAATAGTTTTACTATTAAAAAAATATCTAAAACAATGAACAATTTGAAACAGACAAAGCAAAAAATGTTTACAATAACACATAATCAAATATTTATATTGTCTTTCTACATCAGTCAAATATCTTGACTTAATCTTGATATGCCATAATGAAATTTAGGAAGGGCCATTTCCAATTTCATTGGTCAATTTAAAGAAAGCTATACCTACTCCAGACACTCAATGTTACAATAGTTTTATTATAATTGAAGACATTGTCTTTACAGTATTTTTACTTTACAGTTTATAAGATTTATTTATTAATCATTGATTTTGCAATATATTTCAAAACATTTAACAAGAAAAAATTAACACTGACCACTGTAAAATTATTTTAAAATGAGTTATGTAGAAATCTGGATCTGTTTTAAATTTAAGATTAGTAAAATGCAAATAAAAGAAAAGAAGTTATGCATTAAAATAGAATATTGCAATATCAACAATATTATTATATTTACTTAAATATATTCCAACATTATAGGTACAGTTTTAATCACTTAATTTACATATGTAAGTACTCCTTTCTTAGTATTCCTTTCAGACATCTATTCAAAATGTTTTGATAGAAGGATATATTAAAATCACATCTTTTTTTTATTATTTTCTTTCCCATAAAATCTTTACACATATGAACACTTATAACAATTTAGAATATACTTTCAATTAATAGGAATACATGTCTATTTATTCCTAATACAGACCTCAGAACAATTATCAAAATGTGAACATAATATGATGATTGATGGTGATGATAATATGTATTTCAAGATACAACAATTAACTACTATGAGAACAGATTATATTTTGAGATAAGACATGGAATGTATCATCAAAGTGAGTGGCTTTATATATTACTGTGCATAATCTAAACCCGTTAATGTGAAATCATTAAACTACTTACTAAAAAAAAATTACAAATACCATCAAATAGAAATTATACCTACAAAAACAAAAACATATCTAGGAAAATAAGTTTAAATATTAATCTATCAATCAACACTGAACTATGGTGCTATGTCAAAGCTTGTATGTAAATGAGACAGAATATATAAACTGTGTAATAGAAACGTTTCAAGAAAGTAATTAATAACATAATAACATTACAGTTAATATTTAACATGTTAGTAACATATTTTTTAGTGTAGCTTGATCATGGAAGAATTTTAAATGTATTGTACATGCATTTTTTTGTGGAAGAACAATTAATTTTGATTTTATCATCTGTATATACTGCTCTCAACTGGTCTACATATTAAATGCAGTAATATAATGTTGAAAGAATTGAGATTAAAATAAATAAACTTTTAATAGAAATGTAGAATATATAACAAGATTATTTTAATGAAAGTTGTGTAAAAATGAGAGCTTAGTAACACATTTTTTGCCAGGTACATGATATAATAGTGATGAATAAATTAAAAATAAAAATATAGTTATTTTCTTCCCCTTTTACTTCACATCTTTCACATATTATATCAATCAGCCTCTATAGGGTTTTTAATGTTCTTAATCAAGTTGTTAAAAATTTACAAAATGCATTAAATTTACATTTTTAAAAATATATGATGTAGCTATGAATGGTTGGTTACCTACTTAAATTTATCTATGATCTACTATCACATTTGATGAAGAAGGGGCTAGAATGCAATAGAAGATGGGGGCATAGAGCATTCCCCAACTGTGACACGGTAAGATGCAAGTTCACTGATACCATGGTAATGTACAAACGCTGCAACAATTACTAGAACATGGAATATTTGATGTGACTGGAACCAAATGTCACATTTACCTGGGAACCAGCGTTCAGGCACTCTTAGTGCATAGAACATAGCACCCAAAATGTAAAGTAAACCCATCAAGACCAGCCAGCCAAGAGATGCCTTGCTGACCTGACTGAACCAGCCTTCTGTGATACCATAATGAATCGCTGGCACTATTCCTGACAGTCCAAAACCCATAAACACTCCCGCTCGAAGAGGTCGTAGGCGCGGTTCGGAAAATCTGTCCCATAGGGACACTATTATAGACAAAATTCCTAAAACAACCACTACAGATAAATATATGATTTTAGGTCTGTAGTGGCAGTAGAAACTGTAGTACAACCACGGAACAAATGAACCCATAATTAGGAGTGCTATTCCGCAGTAGTCCAATTTAGAGAATAATTTTCCAACCATCTCCGAATGGCAATAAAGGGTATGATAAGCAAACGAAAATCCTAAACACACTATTGCGCCAACAAAAAAGACACCAAAGATCATTTTCTCTTGCATCTGTATTTCAATGGATGGTCGAGTCAAAAAATAAATTGCAACTCCAATGAATGCCACACAACCAAGTAAATGGGTCCAAATATTGCCCGTTTCAGTGTGAATACGGAATATGGAGGCAAAACACGCGCTAAAAGAAGGAAGTGGAGGTCTATGTCCTTTATGTAGATAATCATTGTCTTGAAGCCATCGCGGCAAGTGCCTGAAATGACAGACGTTCCACGACGCCTCCCACACTTTACGAACGAACTCCTCGGCCTGTTCGGCTGCGTTATGCGCTAAAGCACCAAGATCTATCTCGTCAGATAAAACGCCAGCTTTTAACACCTCCGCCATTTCAGCGTCAAGTAGATGTTGATCTTCGGGCGTAGATGGAAGGGGGCATCCCTCCTCCTCTTCGGCGAGCACTTCGTCGAGCTCGTCCATCTGCGAAGCGAGGCTTTCGGCCTCGGGATCCCATCCTTGACGACGACGAAGCCCGTCCGAAGACACGCTCCGTGAATCAGAATCCACGTCCCACATACTCACTAGTGTTGACACGCAGAGAACACGAAAAGTTGCCGCATCGACCGTTGCTCGGTCGAACACGACCTTTATTACAGCCAACCACAGTTATTCCAAAGAATCCAGTTACGTCACGAAATGAAGAACATGCAAAGGCTTTTGTTTCAATGCACAGTCAGCACTGCGGTTTCTTGAATAATTATTGTTTTATTACATTTTTAACTGTTGCACACGAAGCACTACGTGTAAATTTAGAACAAAAGATAATAAAATTAATACTAAGCAGAAGTACACGACATCCACTTGGCTTAATCAACGACCACGACGCAATGAATGAATGAACTGCGATATGGTTCAATCACGAATAGAACAGCTGCAAAGAAGCAGTGTTGTAAAAGATTCGATTTAATGGTAGTTTTCCGATTTTGATTACTATAAACCGATACCGATATTGAAAAATCAATCGATAGTTATAAAATATATTTTGTAATTTTGCTATTACTCAGATTTTAAAATCTGAGGACGGAGGATGTTTTATTTTATTGTTCACATATTTTATTTATAAAATCTAAATATAGTTGTATGTATATCAACCGGACCATTGTATTTAAAATACTAACTAGAATATATTTCAGTTCAATTAATGAAATGATAACGAAAAATATTACTGTTCTATCAGAGTACAATTTAAAAGTATAAAAAAGTACAAAACGTTATCATTCGACTAATAAATCATAGGAATTGTTTAATCGTACATAAGTGTGTGTACAGTGTTTAATTAATAACTGAACAATCTCAGCTCAAACAGCACTAGGTTACATTATAATTGAAACCGTTAGAATTGTGACAACGTAATTTCTAATTTAATATAGTATCGACTCATTATAATCGAATACAAACAGCTAAAAAATTTCAATGCACATCTCTAGTAAGCTTCTTAATCTATTGCTGCGTTCTGATTGGTGGAACTCAGAATTGAATGACAGTATTTTAACCAATAGCAATACCCACTATACACATTCAATACATAACCTACAAATTATTAAAACATACATATAAAATCAAATTATAAGTCGATAGCTAAACACTATTGAACGTCATTAAAAATATATGTGTACTTACTTCTTAAACATGTTCCTGTGTCTTGTAGACTTATTCTTAGAATTATACAAAATTGTTATTTCACAGTTGAATAGAAACTTCCTCTTTGACAATTAAAGGAATGTGAAATCATTCACTCACACAATGTATCATTCCCACTGAATCCAAATATGACCTAAAGTCAATCACTGTCAATCGACTGTATATGTCAGTATTTTTATATTTTGACAGTAGCATGACAAAGACAACCAGAAACCAAAATAATCCCGTAATGACACACGTTTCTTTTTGATTGAGCACATTTGTTTTCTGCAACCACATGTTATTTTTATTCCTACATATTTTTATTGATTATTATGTAAATAATTGTATTTGATTAATGATTTTCTTAGTAGAAACGTAAAGTGCAACAATGTCAACTCTCCTGGAAGTATTAGTGACTTGTGATTCTAATAATCCACTATGGACAACTTGTGTTTGGGATCCACACACCGGTACAAATCTCATGACTTACAAAGGTGGCGGAACTGCTGAGATCAGAACTCTTTCTTTGATCGGGAACGACTATATAGCAGCGGTTGAGAGAACGAAACCAATTTTACATGTCTGGCCTCTGAATTCCCAACAAACAGTACAGGGTATACGTTTCATCTTACCCGGCAAAGCGAGTGCTTTAGCTATTACACGCGATGGATCTTTCATAGCAGCCGGCATAGATGAAAAAATTTATTTATGGCAAACATCATCAGGCAATTTGTTAACCATTATCAACCGTCACTATCAAAAAGTTATAGTAATAAAGTTTACTGCAGATGGACGTCATTTTGTTTCTGCGGCGGAAGATGGAATGGTAATGGTATGGTCTTTAGTTACTGTTACTGCTCATCCAGAGGTGGAGCATGCTAGCCAAACTGTAGCTGGCCAACATGATCCGGTACATATCTATTCCGACCATTCCTTACCTGTGTCAGATTTGTACATTAGTAAAACTGGAATGCATGGTCGATTAACTACTGTATCTTGTGATAGATCATGTAAAATATATGATTTGGCTACAGGTGAGATGCTTTTAAATTTAGTTTTTGATGTACCTCTAACAGCTATCACAATGGATGTTTTGGAGTTGTCTGTTTTTATTGGTACTACAGAAGGTAAAATTTATCAGTATAGTCTCACAAATCCTCCAAGAAGCCGAGATGTACTGATCAATACAGAAAATAGTTGTTCCACATTTCATGGCCATACTAAGATAGTGAACTGTTTATCTGTATCATTAGATGGTGAAACTTTGATGTCTGGTTCTAATGATGAACAAGTAATTCTATGGCACATACCTAGTATGCAGCCTATTAGAACCATTCGCCATAAAGGCCCTATAACAAATGCAGTTTTTACTGTAAATTTGCCAGCTATTTATAAACAAGAATTCACTCCAAATATTATTCTGCATAGTTTAGAAAGAACATTAGAAAAGGATGCTGATGATGTAATAGAAATTGAAGTACTAGTAAACAAAAAAATATCTTTTTGGCCAGAAATTCATGAGAGTGATATACAATCTAGTCATTCCAAGGAGATTGAAAAAGAATCCAAACAAAAAGAATTGATATTGAAAGAAGAGTTAAATAAATTGAAGAAGATCAATGCTAGCCTGTATGCATTGTCAATAGAAAACACGTTAAACTCTATTCAAACTTATAATGTAACAAATTCAAATAATAAAAAGAAAAGAAAAAGTCATTAAATAAATAAAATGTAATATGTAATATTGTTTTTTATTTTGGCGTTAGAAGTTACCAATGAATTTTCACAGTGCAGTATGTCTTAATTTTTTATTACAATGTTTTGTTATATATTTGTTATTACTAATGTATATAACGAAAATCTAAATCTCTAATCCCAATTTCTATGCCATTATTTTTGGCTCGACTGCTAGAAATGCATAGTGAGTAAATTGTCACTAATATTATTATTATAGTAACAAGTGACATTGAAAACGTTGCGGCGTCGTGGCCTGTCGGTTTACTACCTAAACGACTTGGTGGAAGCCGTGAGCCGTGAGTTCCATTCAGGTCAACAAAAACTTTTTTATCTATTTCTAACTAACTCTCCAATGAAAACACCTACAACAAATGAAATTAATCCACGTCGGACGGCAAAAAGCTCATTCCCTGCCACGTTGGTTTACATACATTTTCGGAAAGTAAGCACGACAAATGTCATGAGGTCGTTTTACAATTTTACTTTACATACAATTGATTGAATATTACAGATACAATGTTTTTTATTGTGTATGAAATAATAGTGTATAGAACTTGGTGGTTCCTTAGTAGTACAATTATTATATAGTTCATACATAAGACAATTATTTAATTTCAAGAGCCGTCGGATAGCATAAATTACTGAGCAAGTATTCACTGTGTTTCTAAAATAAATTACAAATAATAAAATATACGATAGAAAGTTGAGCAAACGAAGCATATACAAAGTTAAGAATATAAGTCCTATTTGGATTAAATTCAATCAAAAATTTCAATAAGCCCTAACATGTAAGAGCTATATTAATAACGTTTTCTTTCTACACTGTGCAACGTACGACAGTGTACGGTTTGACTACCTGTCAAATTCTCAACGGTAAATTGTCAAAACGTCATCTATCCATTGTTCAGTCCGGACGCATTTTATTTTCCTTTATAATAATAAAATCTAATTAAAATTAATCTTATATTCAATATCTAAACGGGATCAATACTAAAACTAATATTTTAACATTACAGCGTCCATTATGTTTTTATGACACTTCTCTGAAGGTGAGCGACATGCAGTTGTAAAAATAAACGGCCCTCTGCGTCACAAACAAAACAGTGTTATTTTGTTTACCATTTTTAGGAGCCGAAATGTCGAAGGCTATAGTAATACCAGAGTGTAAGAATTTTGGGGGAATTAAGGATGAAATAGCGTTATCTCCGAATGATAAGAAAGATGGTGCGATCGGCTTGTTTAGTCGGCTACTACGATTGGATACACTTAAAAGAAACTCTTCTCCAGGGAGCCCGACAATTTCGGAGCCTCCAACGACATACTATGGAGTCTACATACCATGCGAAATTAAAAAAGGACCTGATGAAGGTTTGTTCAAAATGAAGTTTATATTTTTATCTGTTTTAGTTTGCATTCCATAAGCTCTAATGCATTCATATTTAGGGTTATCATTTCAAAACAAAGACTTAAGATAAGATACACTCACTAAGTGGGCCAATATTGTATGTAAATAATAACTTCATATTATCATAAAATACTTTGTAATTAAATGAATACAAAATATAAACTTTGAAGTCAGTGGTGTAAATATTTTTATCATATAAATATTGAAGAGTAGTTAATGAAATAAACAATAACAATATACTGTAGGGTATCATACAGTATTTACGTTATGGAGTATACATACTTGTTGTGTTGGTTCACTACTGTATCTGCTTAATATTATATATTCATAGATAATAGATAACTAACTGTTACCTATAACTTAATTTGCACAAACTCATCTCATTAGACTTATTTTTGTGATAAATAGACTGTTTAAATAAAAAGCCCTATCATCACTATTGAATTGAAAAAACAAGGTAACTAGTTGTTCACTAACTACTATAAGAGATCAGGCTTTCTTTCAATGTATAGTCAGTTAAAAATATAAATTTATTCACAATGGTTTTTGTTTGTTGACTAGATTCAAACTCACTACCTCTTCGGTGTTATTGAAGGTAGTAAGCCTTTAGGCCATGACACTTAATGACAATTAAAACAATATTATTATTACTAAATAATTAATAAAATTGTAAACAATGTATTAAAATCAACAGAAGCACTGCATGTTTACAAGAACAAGTCGGAAGCACTGGAACTGGTGCGTCGTTACAAGTTAGCAAGATTCAAGGCATTTCAGAATTATCAGGATGCTGTCTCCTTTGCTCTGAGGGGTGCCGAACCTGTGGACACAACTGATGGAAATGATAACTGTGAGTCATTTGTTATGTTCTCATTTTCGTCATCATCATCATCATTTCAGCCTGTATCTATCCACAATTAGATATAGCCCTTTCTCAATTCCTTCCAACATTTGCAATCTGTCTTCCGCATGTATCTACGATGTAAATTATATTGTAATACTGTATGTGTAATAAGTGTATCTCTACATTTCCAATAAGACTCCAACAAGGATATCATTGGATTGGCTTAAGTTCTAAATAAGAAATATAGTAAGAATCAACACCTGAAAACTTCATCTAAACATAATTAATTTTACAGTTATTTCATGTGTAGCCTTAAAAAAAATAGATACTACACTAATTGACTTCCTAGATACATTTTATGGCTTTAAATGTTTAGAGAATTGATAAACATTACAGATGGTTTATCAACACAGAAGGAAAATATTTTTAGCATCAAAGCAGTAGTTAAATAAAATGTTGTCAATAAAGGTACTTGTGACGTCAATTCATGTGTTAATATCGAAAATAAAATCTGTCTAACTGATTTTCAAGAAGATTGGAGATCTGTGGTATCTTTTAGGTAACATTCTGCGGTATTGCTGGGAACCATATACAGGTTATTCGAAGTCTAACAGCCCAATGGGAAAGAAGCGTCAGTGCGAGTACTGCTTCCCCATCCATATAAATAATAGGAAACCAGGAACAGTATTCTTGAAAATTAACAGATTTGTTATGTAAAGTTAAAAACAGAATATCACTTCCTTTCTTCAATGACACTGACAACTTGGCACTTGCCGAAAACTCCAAAGTACTAGAAACGCTTAAAACACCAAACGCATATGGCAAAAGTGGTGGCAAGCGCTTGCCGCAAATTCGGTTTGGTTTTTGATTAAGAACCGACACTCAATCGCTATGACTACAAGCGCTTACAACCCTACACAAACGAGATCAAGATCTCTATCTGTTTTTATTAATTTAATTAAGTATTATAGGCGGGACTGAGACGACGAGATACCCACGCCGCAGACGACTTTTTTTTTACAGTCTACCTCCGATTGGAATTTGAGACTGCTTTTTGAAGTTTGTTAAGTGTTTAGTTGCAATTTTTTTAGAATAAAACAACCATGGAAACTGTTTTTTTATGATCTCCACTTAAAAATTGCTCAGCGTCATGAGTATTCTACCTGGCACCTACTTTGTTACGCCTGTCCTGTCCCCTCTTCGTTGTATATTCTCTGCATAGTTGGCTGTCTCAATAACAGTCATAGGTAATAGTGAAATCACTTGTAACATGAAGCAATGGCGTGACGTAAAACACATTGTGCCAAGACGATCTTTCACCCGACCTTGGTAGCGTTTACAATAATTATTACTAATACATCTATCTTGTAATAGCGTGCGTATCGATTTCTTTCAGTCATGAGCCTTGATAAAATTCATTCCATTAAATACATAATTGCAAATTTATACTTGAACAAATGTGTTTCATTTATATACGCTTAGTCTAATTGGTTGCCTAATAATTGTAATTAAATAATCTTTACATAGTCTAAAATTTTTCGCTTCCGCTGTAGGCTCCGTAGATCTTTTAAACTATGCAACGGATTTTAGGGTGATTGAAGAAGGTTTATATGTACAAATATAATATAAATACATAATAAAAGCGCAAATCCGGGGCGGGTAGGTATTATATATATTAAAAGGTTGTTTGGTTTTTTTTTTAATTTTAGAGTCCATTGCTTAATTAAGGTATAGGCTTTTAAACATCACGTTGTAATAGAACCCTTTGCTTCCTAGTAAAAAGTAAACACTAAGAATATTAAGCAAAGCAGCACGGGTTGTAATGATATGGCGCTATGGGTTGAAGACCGAGGGCAGCCATTTCTTTTTGCGGCACAACTAGTTGCGTTTAATTATTTTATACTTATTGTTACCCGTAGGTAACTGTATTTGTTTTTATAATAATAAATAATTTATTGCCGCTTTCGTTGACGCAATCTATCTACACCTCAAATGTTATCCACCCTCCGATTATGCTGTTATGGTCTCAGCCGAACATTTTCAATTAAAAAATAAATGTAAATTATAATAATGAAGATCCTTTTAGCCTACCCGTGAAAAGATAATAAACAGATGCGCATTCGCATTTGTAATATGACTTTAGATAGTGTCTAATAAAGAGAGAAAGAGAGTAGGTCATCCGCTAATTGCCTCTTTACAATCCGGTAGTTAACAAAATGTTATCTATTAATTTATTATAATGAGTACCAAGCTATCACACAAATTCTCTGTTCCTCAAATTACGATGCCCTCTGTTATTTGTATTATTATTGTATTTGAGTTATTTCACCCATTAACATAGAACGATTATAAATGACACATAAGTACATAATTACTAATATTATAAATGAAAGCTATTTCTGTCTGTGCATCTGTCTATTTGTTATCTTTTCACGACTAAATTGATTTAAAGACAAATGGTATTACGAGTATAAATATATTTTATATGTGGAGTATATCTTGTATCTCGAGTGTGGGGTGTGAAGTGCCAAGCCACACACATAAAGACCCTACTGGTTGGACGTCGACAATAAGACCAATTACAAATCCTGTTATTAAACCAAATTATTAAAATGGTTTTGTTATTAGTATTTCCATCACTAGAAAGCCAGTCAGAAATATAAATTAACACACGGTTTTCATGTCTACCAGATTCAAACTCACGCCCTTTGGGATGTAAGTAGATTAGTAAACGCAATAATGAGTATTATATTCCATACATTGTATATTTTCAGCTTTAATGGGCGAGAAACCATATCCATTCAAAGCACCATCACCACAGGATATGGTGGCACTGCGCAAAGCAATCGAGGCTGGTCTCGCCACCACCGTCCGCGACCGAGTCTGGGAGAACCCTCGGTTCCTCGTCAGTAGCGGGAACACGCCAGCTATTATGCAAGTATGTGCTACATTCTATATTTGTGTCTTGGCTTTACACAGTATAAAACAAAGTCGCCACGGCTGTTTCTTTGCTTATATCTTTTAAATTACGCAACGGATTTTAATTCAGTTTTTAACAATAGATAGAGTAATTCAAGACGATGGTTTATAGGTATAATACATGCGTGTTATGGTATAGAACAAGCAGTAAAATTCAAAGATTTGTTATGCATCTCTGCGAAGCCGGGCCGGGTCACTAGTTGTTTTATTTAAGAATATGGCAATAGAGTAGAAATAGAAGTATTCTTTATTCAAATGAACTTAGAATAAGTGCTTTTGAATAGTCAGATTTTATTCTACGACTTATTCGGAACGTGGGTCTACGTTGTCTACGTTCCAAGAAGAATGAGCAAGAAACTTGCGTATTACTCTGGACTTTTTAAATATGTACCTACAGACTAAGTGATAAAGCTGTGTGTGATACGGGAACATCTGAGCCCATGTCTTCGTACCTGTTGTATCCTGAATTACAAAATTTTAAATGAAGCTTACAGGTAAGCTTCATTTAAAATTTTGACTTACTACAATATATAAGTACAGTGTATTATATACTTTATATTAGATTTTTCATATATCTTACATGTAATTTGTTACATTTCAATTATTAGTAATCTCATTTTATAAAAAGAACTGTTAATCAGTTCAAGAGAACGCTACGGTACCGGTAATTAAGTTTAGTTTTGTACTTCAGAGTTATTTTTTGTACCATAAACAGTTGACAATGTATAAATGATTATGATGAATGATCATAATGGGCTTACAGGAAGGATCTCGGTACAACGCGCTGCACGTCGCAGCTAAATCTATGAACGCTGAAATATGCAACTTAATACTGACAACGGTGGGGAACCCCACCTTTGTACAGTCTCTGTACGGAACGGACGCAGAGCCCCAATCTTGTAAGGTAAACTAGTTTCATACCGCATTTGTTTTATACTTTAACAACAATCCTCTTCCCCCAAATGGCCATGATGCTGTTCATGTATACATATAAGCGACTAAGTTTTTTTATCTAACTGCAATGGTATACACACAGGTAAGTGGTAGTTTAGCATGTGACAGTCCTTCGCCATACACATTTAGGTGTTACTAACGGTCTTACAATGTGTTAGTTATACAATACTAGCTGATACGCGCAACTTCGTCTGCATCGCACATGACATTTCGCCATCAATATATCATCAATTTATTTCGCCCAATATGCATAATATCTTTTTATTTATTGTCTATGTGTTATTCTAATGTATAAGCTGTATTACTGTAAAGTTTCATCAAATTCCTCTCAGAAGTTTTTGCGTGAGTGAGTAATAAACATCCATCCATACTCACAAACTTTCTCGTTTATAATATTAGTAAGAAGTAATATAATATGATATGATTGTTCAAGGAATTCGCATCAATTCTGGTGGACCGGTATCTAAACACCCCTGACAAGGCGATGAACGAGACACCTCTTCACTTCGCTGCCAAGTTCGGCGCTGAAGAAGCAGTAGATGTGCTCACATCGTTCCCGCAGTGTAACCGCACCGCCGTGAATAAATACGGCGAGCAACCGAAGGACGTGAGTTAACGATTTATCATACCATAAACCAAATCAAATTTATTTGGGAACCCATTAACATACTGCTATAGGGCACTTCTTCATAGTCATCTTTGTACTGTAGGACACATCACACATATAAAGAAAGAGGAAAGACCTGTACGAAATTTAATTTGTATTTGCTTCTTCTTTTTTATACACTTTGCTTTTTTGTAATTTATACTGTGTTGAAAATGTGTATGTGTCTTTATATGTTAATGTACAAATTGAATTTCATGTGCGTCAATAGTCTAATTACCTTTTTAATCACACAAATATTATAAATAGAAATGATATTTGTTCAAATAAACTTTTGAATAAAATATTTTTTTATTCTACCTCTCATTCAGAACGCAGACTCATCACAAGTAAACTAAAATAATCATATTCATGAATAAAAATTGTTTGCATGGTCCAGGGATCGGACTCTTCACAGTCAGTGTATTAAATGTCTACACAATGTTTTCAATTGCAGGTAATTTGCAAGAGATCATCGACATCGACGCCAGAAACAGCGCGACGCATATCTGCGATGCTACAGGACAGATACTACGTGCCGGTGTTACACTCGGAGGATGACAGTGGAGCACCCACTATAGGACGCCCGTTCACGCCAGCAGTACCGCCTGTAAGTTTAAGAAGACTGAAAAATTAAAATAAAAAATCATATATCCATATAGGACCACCGAAGCCATCAAGGGAGGGGTGAATGGAAGTACATATAATAAGCATTTCATACTATCTAAAGATGATAATATTCAATGTCCTCAGGAAATAAACGTAGACCCGCTAAGTCCCCGGTACGAGATCCGAGCGTTCGCGGGGCCCATGGCGGCGCCCGAGGCCGACCAGTTCCGACGACGCTGGAAGACTCCGCCGCGAGCCCCCCGCGGACTGCTCGCGCCGCCTGCTTTCCGACTGCGGGACCTCTCCAAGGGACTCGAGAATATTGGACGGTGAGGACTAATTAAAATAATCTTTAATTACTAGGAATAATTACAATTCTACAGTAGAAATAATCTTTATTCAAAATAATATTTGATGGTGAGAACTTACACTAATTATTGAATATTAATATGCTTTATTAAAATAAACTTAATTTTAAACACTTTTAAATAGTAATATTGATTTTGGCACTAGCTGTTGTTAACTACAAGTTTGTTTTAAAGGAAATAAATGTCAAATGTTTCATACATTTGACATTTATTTCCTAACTATACAAGATTAATATAATATAATAATTATTTTACTATTATTAATTATTAATATTGTTATTGTACTGTATTTATTGTATGTATGTATTTAAATATTAATTTAATTTCAATTAAAATTGAATTCACTCCCCTTCTGAAAAATGCACAGAATACATTATAACTATCGATTCCAAACATTACAGATAAACTCTACCAAAAATAATAGCCACAAATACTACAATTATATTATTAATACGATACTTCTGTAGGAGTTCATTAGCGTCATTTAGTTAAAGTTCCAATATATCAGTGAAAAAAATATTTAATTTCCTGTTACAGAAATTTAGCTGAAGAAATGAAAATTGGTTGGAAAGAGTATTGGCCGTTCCTAGATACATTTACGGACTTGAGAACACCAGAAGGTCTCGCATTACTAGAGAATTACTTAAAGAGCAAATATGAGAGTGCCTGCTCGTATGCTTACAGCGACAGTTGCGCGCAGTCTCACGTGTCGCCCGATGACTTGTCTCTCTCCAGAATAACCTTAGGTACCGCCCAATCCACCCCCATCAAAGACTCCATGAGCCCTATGTCCGAGCTGTGCGTCGCTCTGAAGACGTGCAAAATATCTTCAGACAGACCTCCACATTGGAGGAAAACAGATCCTATCCTACAAAGGTTATGCAGACAGCCGAGCCTCAAAACCAATATGCCGAATGGAGAAACACCTCCAACGATAAATCACACCGTAAACCAATTATTATGTATAGAAAGAACATGCCAAGTTTTTGCTAAAAGAATAGCGGACGCATTAATATTTTCGTTGACAGCTGAACCAGAAGTAGCTGGAGAATCATTGAAAGGAGAAGCGAAGCATCTGCAGCATACAATGTTCACATACATGGACGACGAAAGGTTTCAGAAGATAGATTTTGCATTAATACATTCAAGGCTGGCGCAATTAGTTGTTTTCAAATTAAAAAACCAAACAAGCGACTTAGACGATATTAATAATTTAGTTGAGTTTCTTGTGAAGTTACGATGTCCGAATGATGATATATTTAGTTCAGATGATGAGAGAAAGCCCATCCCTTACAGGGGCTTGAGTAGAGTTAAAATTACTCACGTGATAGATACCCATGTTAGGTGTTTAGCTAGTTTTATATGTGAAGAATTAACCGAGGTGGAAGTAATGAAAGGCCCGGCAACCTCAGAGGGCGAATGCTCCGAAATATGGGATAAGGTATCTAAATGCCACTGTGATTGGAAGATAGAGTCGTTCGAGAGAAACAGTAAGAAGAATGCGTCATTTAGGAAAAATAGATCTATTTTGTCAACGAGCCCGAAAAGCGAGAGTTTTATAAGGCGATTGTCATTTGACCAAGACATTGGTGAGTCATATTTGTTTGTTAGTTCTAACTACATTTTATTTACGACATTTACTACGACTATTTGTCTATATTGTTTTTATTTTGGAATATTATTAATATTTAATATTGCACGCTCAATAATACAGTGCATCAACTCATAAGTTATAAATTTTGGAAAATTGATTAGTTTATCTTATTAAATTGATTAGTTTATATTATTATTTAAAATTGATTAGATTATTGATTTAGTTTATCATTACAGTTGAATTTATAGTAATTGTAACTTTTTAGTTAATAATTATACATTCAATATAGTCCTCGATAGTAGTAATTGTTATTAACATCAACCTTTTCTAATTTATATTTTCACAATTCATTATTTATGGTACCTCATGAATATTGTATTGCAATCATAATATAAAATAAGATATATACAACCATTGTATTCTAACGCCATCTATAACCTTTTGTCTTTTCTTCTCTACCCAACGGCAGTCTGGAAGAGATTGCATAAGCGTTAGGGCCGCCTTTTGTACCCTTTTGTTTTGTTAATTTTGATTCCTGTAATTTATCTGACGCAATAGAGTATATAAATATATAAAAAAATATATTAAAGGTGATGGTAAACTACAACGCAACGAATCCGAGAAGCCGGTGAGCGTCAATTCACCAGCGGGTGACAACGGTGCAACAATATTCACTGTGGACATGGCCAAATGCCACGTTGTCGAGGCAGAGGTAAGTTTATAAAATAAAAAAAAATATATGTAGGTCATTATAAATCAATTCTGCCGTCTGTTCACTCTGTTGATGGATATACTATTTGTTTGTCACCTTTCAATAACTCAACGAATTTTAAAAAATCTAATATGAAATTAGATAGTATTAGCACATGGACGGATATATTTTTTTTTATTAATAGGTATAGTTAGTACATGTGTACTACGTAAGTAATATTATTTATATTTAGATTAAGGGTGAATGCGATTAGTGGCACTGATTAAAATTATTAACTAGTGGCTTCTGATTAAATTAGTTTGTTGATGACATCCACGAATCAACAAGTATTTAATCTGTATTCATTATCTAATAAGCAGATAATAGTTAAATCACATTTATATGAACATATTGGTAAATAAATAAACACATGCTATATTACTGTATAACGCCTAACATTTGTCAGTGTGTATAATATTCATTCACTCATGTACTACTGAAAACTACTGAACCGATTTTGAAAAATTCTTTTAGCCATTTTTAATAGACAAAGATTATATATTATCAGTCTGCGGCCAATAGCATTAGAGCTTCATTGCAAAAATGGGGAAATGTGACGCAGTTGATGTTTTGCGGGTCAGCTAGTTTAATATAAATTTATTACTTCCCAAATTTTATTAAAACTACTTACTAATTTTTGCATTTGTACAGAATGGGCCGACCCAGCTGTTCTTAATTTTGTATATATTAGCCTATATCACTTTGAGATAATCTGCCTTTAAAACGGCAAAATAATTTCTGAGGCAATTACTTTCCTCATAACAAAACAAAATCGGTTGTCATAAAAGCTCTCTCTCTCTCTTGTATGATATAATTAGTAGTGTAGATGTTGTCATACAATTAATTTATATTTTTTTAATGGCTGGTAATGGAATGATGCACCCGCCTCCGCTAATGGTTTACGCTGGCGGGAAACCAGTGGAGAATGATAAGATTACCTTGAGGTCAGATCATTAGCCCATCATGACAAATTCACCAGTAATTTATACCCCATGGTGTTCGACCTGACACGGTATATTGCTAGCAATTAGGTCATCACATCCTTTATTTTAATGTGGCTACGAATTTATTTTATTAGATATCAGAAGACGATTCAGCAGGGTCGTGCAATTCTGACGAGTGCGAAGACTACCTGACAGCCTCCGAAAATTCGGACCACGAGAACGAACTGCCTGAGGAGCCCGACGTTGACATGCATGAGGCGAGCGACCGCGCCATTGCCGAGCCCTTCATATACGGGTAATTTGTATATCACTATTTATATTATTGTCATACCAGATCTTTTAAAATTAGGAGTAGCTGATGAAGTGGTGTGGTCGTCTACAGTGAGTGGTAGTTCAACGAACGGCGACTGCTACACTACGTCGTAGAGCGCGTCACTAATTTATTAGATGCCTGAACACACACATATACACAAATTTTCAATTAGGTACTTTCAGTTTTGATAATAAATTCGCCTAAGTTATTACAATAAGTCACAGAATTTAAATAAGAATGATAATTCTGGATAATTCACACAATCTTCTAGTTCTACATCCAGGTTACGCAGAGCTTGAGTTATAGTTGAATCATCATTCACTAGCTTCTTCGCACAACTTCAAACTTATATACTTATATATACGTTTGAAGTTGTGCGAGCAATACTAACTTATATATTTTTAAATTATAGCCTATGTGTTATTTTGAAGTATAAGTTATATTACTGTAAAGTTTAATCCAAATCCTTTAAGTAGTTTTTGCGCGAAAGAATAACAAACATCCATACATAAACATTTTAGAGCCGGCAACGTGCACGTGATTACCATGGGTGGCAAACAAGCATGTGGCTATGCTAATGGCAAATAGTTACCATTAGATAAGCAATATGCTTGTTTGCCACCATCATAGTATTAAAAGAACTTTCGTGTTTATAATATTAGTGTGATAAACAAAGTTCGTACCATATTGTATAGGTTAATGAAGCTAAAATTAATTAAAAAACGTGTATATTGTACAGTGAGGAGCCAAGTAAGATGGATCGACTGGTTTTCGACGCCCTCTGCGAGTGCAATATCAACGTGCAACAGTTCCCGAACGTCTATCGCTGGCGGCATACTGTCGCACTGTACTCCCCCACCGAACGTGACAAGTATGTAAATTTTCCCTCCAGCATATATCCTCCCCCCACATCCCCTTTTGTCCTGTCATCCTTGTTGCAAACTCTTTGTACAGTTATATATATACATTTATGTGTCAGTTATGAATGCATTTTTTACAGTTTTTAGATTATTAAATTTTATTGTCACTGTTCCACTGTTACTGTTCGTACCTACATTACAAGTATTTACAGTTTTTTATCGGTTGTTCTATTAATCTCACACATTCAGTCCACTGATTCTATCGCCCACACTCTATGCAATGTACTTCACATTATGGAGTACATAGAGGATTTAAGCAAAAAATTATCTATATTATTTTTAAGCTATAAGAAACCTTATTAAACTTTATATTGTTATAAATGTGCTTCAATAACTTTGTAATTTTAAAAAATTGTTTAGTCTGATGCAATATTTAGATGATAGACCATAGATGACTTGTCGGGATTAATTGACCTTTTTGCGACATTTTGACTTTCTGTTTAAATGTAATCCAAAATAAATTTATTTGACAAATTCTTCAATACAGTTTCCAATTGTTCAATAGTTAAATTTTTAATTCGTAATAAAGTAATTGGGTACTCATACTTACATGTAGTGTGGCGATTGTACAAACAGCGCGCGGCAACACCATTACTTAGCTACGTTTTTCTTTCAAGATCGTATTGCTTTCTTATATGTATGTACATATCAATTGCAAATACTTCTATAATATAAGTATGTACATAGCTACTACTTGTCTAATTCATCTCTCCACCTTTCTCTTCCTGATGTTACTGCCACAAGTATAAAGGAACACATTATAGTAAATAGCGGCCTATCATAGATGCTAAAGTAGCAGTAGCCCATGTATAAAATCATTACTTGGAAGTCATATAGTGTAGATATTTGGCAGTTCCACTTTCCATTAAGTATCATCACATGCTTGGTATTCCAGCCATAGAATATTATATTATGATCTGCTATATGACAGATGGAAGACAGCCCAGTCGGCAGACGAGAGCGTATTGTCGATGACGTTCTGCGCAAGTCCAGTGGCGCAGTCGCCGCGACGGAGACGGTTCACCACGCAAGCCTCGCCTTCGACCCCGGCGTCGCCCGCCGCGCGCTCCACGCCCTGCAAAGATGTCAGGGGAGAGTGCAGAACGGTACCCTTGCAGGTATGTTTTTCTTATTTGTATATTAGATACCAACGGTGTTGCGATTTGTATTTACTTTAATGTATGTGGTAATATTAAAGCAAATATAGGTTTCACTTAATGGACATATATTATACTATCTGTGCTCGCGGTTGAAATATATAGCCTATGTGTTATTCTAATGTATAAGCTATATCACTGTAAAGTTTCAACAAAATGCATTCAGTAGTTTCTGTGTTTTCTGCGTGAAAGAGTAACAAACATCCATCCATACTAACAAACTTTCGCATTTATAATATTAAAATAAGATTATTTGTTTTATGTTTTGTTATAACGCAAGCCAATACTTGCGCTGTAACAAAAACAAATAAATATGAACTGAATGTGCAAGCTTTACTGTTCGTAATGATGTCATTGTGATGGAGTAATTGAAAAACTGTTGTAGCTGTCCTGGCAAACCTTGTCTTGGCATATTAAAATAAAAATAGGGGTTGATGGTAGAAGCGTGAATGAATTTACAGCTGTATTTTGTGATTCCAAATCATAATAATAATAAAATAAAAAATATATTTATACTATTTTTTTGACAAATTATTTTGATTTAGCATAGAAAAATACATACAACTTAAAACTTACACCCTTTTACAATAAACTCCTGTGTTTATAGCGATATTATTACTTCAATTTATATGGCAAACACAACGTTTGCTGTGTCGGTTAGTGTTGTTATATAAAACAACGCCACGCCGCTTTTTGCTTATTTATCCTTATAGGAAAGGCCAAGAATCTAAGACCATACAGCCGTTTTACACCACTTATTTTGTTTACCAGGTTTCAAATTGGCTTCGAGTAACTGGTCCAAACTCACCGCGGTCAGCTGCTGCCACTAAAAACGTCGGTCACAACGTCAGCTTTGGATTTTAAATGATCATAATAATTAGAGTACTTATATAACTGCCAATCCCGGGTACCTAACAACCATGCTTGTTGGGGACCACACTCAAATAACGTTGACAACTATTAAACTACGCGTATTGTTTAATTAAAAATAAAAATAGTTGCGTATAGATATATAGTGTGGATCCCTGCAATTTGTATTTGCAGAAATCCTATTCAAGGTATTTTTTTAGTTTATATTAATTAATGTTTAATTATTAGTATTTGAATGGAAATTTCTTTTTTCTATGACTATTTGGATTGAATGAATATATTTGAATTGATTTATTACAAGAATAATTACAATATATGTGACATTGTACTTTTATCTCATTATTCATAAAAATATAATATTCTAAAAACACAAACTATTAGAGTTATGTCAGTTACATATTAGGCATTTATAATTTTTATGAATAAGGGAGTCAGTGTATTCAATAAAGTGAATGAAACATTTGTGAAATTTAAATTCATCACAAAATATATTTCGCTGTATTAGTACGACATAATAAATAAATATATTCTATAACGACAAATTTATCAAGAAACAGATGTCTATTTTTTGGTAAAAAGTTGATAATCTCATTTAATAATTATATATAAAAATATTGTGCTAATAAATGGTTGTACATAATTATTGATTATAATAATGTTATTTTGTTATAGCTCGTGACAAGTGATAATTTCACTGTTGAATCCACAAAAACCATAGAAATTGACAATAATGTTTCACTGGGTTTATTACTAGCATTTATAATTGTGTTAAAAACCACAGTCTTTCGTCTGTTACGTGTTGTATTGTATAATGTGATGCCAAATTTGGTAAAATAATATGTGGCAATGATAATGTTACGAATGTTTGTACTTTTATATTGAAAAGAGAAAAATAGTAAACGAAATGTGTATGTTTTATATAATAATATTTTAATTCACATAGACATTAGAGAAATACATTATGACTGGTTCATATTTTGGTTTGATTTCTATTTTAACAGAGTGATTTAGGAGTCCCAAAAATTTTCGTCCTCAGATGTTTTGGGCAGAGATATAGGCGAATTGTTTTCATATTCAGAACGACTATTATAATTGTCGACGTCGGCAGAAAAATCATCTACGTAGTCGCCTCCTTTTTCATATTCGCTAATAGAGTCTTCTAGAACTTCTTTAGGTAACTCCTGTTTCATATCTGTACTGGATATGTGGTTGTTAGCGTCTGCGTGAAAAATGGCATCTAATACTTCGTTTCTTGTCAGATGGGCAGCTTCTTCCGGTGATGGTATTCTAGGAATATCTGGTGATATCAGTCTGTCCATATTTGTATCATTAAGACCGCTAAGATCAGCCTTTTTTGGACTTATGATAATTGTCATTTGAGTCGATATTTTTTCTTTTTCATCTGATTGGGAATCTTCTCTTGCCTCAACCGAACTTTGTACTACGAGTAACATTTCTTGAGGTTGAGACGGTGATAAATTCAATTTACTTGTTTCGCACACGTTCTCGACTTCTAATCTGAGAAGATTTTCACTGTTTTCCATTATTACATCATTACATTTTGGAGCGGTCTCAATATTATCCTTTTCTATATCTAGAGGTTTGACATCAGTTTGCTCTGGTAAATTGTAAATTTTGTTTAAGTTCTCTTTTAATATATTTAGTTCATCTTCTTCAGTAGGTTTTGCTTTCCTGATAAATTCATTTCTTGATTTAAAAATAACCTGTTCATTGTTTTTGTTATTTACGTTAACATCTAGAATACTATTTTCATTGTTTACGTCATGTTCTATATTCTCTGATAACGTTGGACATGGGTCGTCTATTATAGTCAATGGTCTTGATAAATGTTGGGAATGATAAAACTTTCTAAATTCAATTAATGGAGTTTCCAAATAATTACGCTTTACTTCATCATCTTTTTTTAAAACGGCAGGTTCGTGACACAGTTCTTCAATTCCTCCGCTTTTATTTTTGGAATGTATCTCACGGATATCAAACTTTGCTTTATATTCACACAAATATTTCTCAAAATCAGTTTTCATAAACTGCGCCGTTGGCTTGTAATTTTTATGAATATCCATTTTAGACGTGTTGTTACCATCAACTTTTTGAAAAGTTTTACTTTCTTTTGTATCTGTAATAAAAGTAACAAAAAGGTATTTAATATCACAGTAAAATGCGACTGTCGAGACTGGTCAATATATTTTTTATCACTATATGAAGAAGTCAAGACATCTATCTTGACGCCAGCATCCTGCAAATCGTGTAAAAATAAATTTTAATATTAAATAATTGCTTACCGAAACTACTAATATTCCTTATAAGAGGATTCTCCATAAAAGCGGTGTAAGACTTTCTATCTTCCTTAAACTCTGTCTGTCTCTTTTTGAAGTCTAAATATGATTTCTCGACGGCTTCCGCCTCAATTTCAAGCTTCCTCAAACGAAGTTTAGCTTCTCGGAGTACAGCGTTAGGGCTTTTCACACGAGATTTTGCTGGTGGATTTCTTTTGCTGTCTTTACTGAAAGAATGTATATTACTCACTAGGGAGGCAAAAATTAGTAACTCACCAAAGCAATTCAGACCTAAAGGATCATAAGTTTGATATAAGCCACAAAAAAATAAACCTAATCAGTGATGGCACCACCGACATCAACGGATTGTACCTATATAATGACTATTTCACCTGGAATAATATCCATGAAAATATAATAATAAATTAAAAAACTTTTACGACAAAGAAGTCCTAAAAATACGCTATTAAAAATTTACAGTATTAGAACTTTCAGGTTTCAAGTTCTAATAATAAAACAGTATATAGAATACTAGCTCGCGACTTCGCCTGGAAAAGACGACGACGTCATCATCATCATCATCATCATCATCATCATCATTAATTTTAGTAAATAGGCTAAAAATAAGTTTCAAGCTTCTAGCTTTAAGAATGACGATACTTCCCTACAACTTTTCATCTCCCGTTTCAACCCCTTACAACCCTTTTTTCGCATTAAAAAGTAGCCTATGTCCTTTCTCACGGTCTAGACCAGTGATTCCCAAATTGGTCTATATCGACCCCCAGGAGTCTATCACAAACTGCAAGGGGTCTACGACAGCGGTCATCTTGTTGTTTTTACTTTATGTTTTTAACACTAAACTTTACTACAGTTAGAAAGTTCCAAAAAATATCAATATCAGGTAAGAATGGGGGGTCTAGTCTACCCAAAACCGAAAATATGGCAAGGGTCTATGACACAAAAAAGTTTGGGAACCTGGTCTAGACTCCGTATACTAAAATTCATTTAAATTGGTTCCGTAGTATTTACGTCAAAACGAGATGGACAGACAGATAGAAATAGAGTTACGTTCGCATCTATACATATAAATAAAATTGGAGTATCTGTTTGTAATATTGAAATAACCATTTGTTACTACATGCATATGAATATAAATACGGTACATGCACCAAAATAACATTTCTTTCAATTTTTGTCTGTCTGTTTGTTCTGGCTAATCTCTGAAATGGCTGGACCGAATTTGACGGGACTTTTATTGGCAGGTAACTATGTAATAAGGAGTAACTTAGACTACTTATATTATAGAAAAATAAAGTTAATTTCCACGTGGACGAAGTCGCGAATACAGCTAATTTATAATATTAGTAATTATAAATAAGAAGTAAAACTTCAGTTTCAGTAAAAAGTATAATATTACACATTACAGACTAGTAGGTAAGTAAATGGCATATTGCGATAAACTTACTTTTTCAAGTTCTCTTTCGCCTCCTTTAACATTGATTTTGGACTTTTTTCTTTCGCTTTTTTTCCCGCTACGTCTTCTGTTGATTTTGTCGGTACGTGATCACTAAAACAAATAAATCTGTTATGTAATTGTTATCTGTAAGCTAATTATTTAAAAGTAGTATTTGCTTACAATAGCGGAAAATTGGAATGGAAATTAGTGGAATTCTGGGTTATGAAGTAGCTTAACTCAAACATGACCTAATTTTGTCTGTATAAATAATTATAGCATTAAGAGGTAACAAATAAAGTCGCTTTCATAATCCACATAACGATTATTGCTTACTTTATAGGTAACTTAGTTGCCAATAATATACCAATTCGGAGTTACTACACGATGTTGTTTTTTCTTATCTAATAAAAAATACTGCGAAACTCACCGAAATGTAATATTTTGTGATCGCCCAGCTATATCCGGTTCCTCTCCACAATGTGCAGAAATCATACCTGGTTTGGCACCAGCACTGGCTAAATAAATATATAGAATAGAAATCATTTATTCAAACATTTCAGCACTTTTGAATAGTCATTACTTTTTAATCTACCACTCATTCGGAAAGCTGTCCCATCACAAGAAGAACGAGCAAGAAACTTGCATGTTGCTCATTTAAATTATAATTATTGTAACATTTTTAATTTACAATATGCCAATACAAACTACAAACAGCACTAATTTAATAAAGTTGAAATATTATATCATTATTCATCATCATCATCGCAGCCCAGAAGACGTCCACTGCTGGACATAGGCCTATTAATATTAATAGGCCCATATCATAATTAATCATTGGTAATTAGTGATCCATACATATAGGAATTACTTTTTTTATATATGTAATTCGAATGGCAAATAAGCTGACGGTCCACTGCTGGTAAGCGGTAACCGTCGCCTATATACATGACCATCACTACGGACATCACATCATCACGTGACACCCGCGTTGTCATTCCAGAGGACGAAGCTGTCACATATATCTGTAGTTTCACTTCCTAATTGCACAGGTTACAAAGCAAGTTGACTTCGGTTGTAATAGAAGATCCTGAAGGCTGACAAATTTTTGGTCTACTCTGACGTCATTAATTTAAAAAAATGGATATTATCGAATTAGGTGTTAATTCGCGTAAGTTCAAATCATTACTTAAAAGATCTATATTATCTATATAATTCCGCTACCATTAGCATTATAGAACCCTAATTATTCAGTGCAGAAATCTGAACACAGTTACGATGTTCTCTATCGGTAAACAAATTTCGAATGTTATTTAGTCTATACCTACATTGCGACACATGTTTCACCTCTGAACGAGACATCAGGCATTGAATAGAGTTCGGATATAGCTTGGAAACATAGTTAAATCCGAACTTTATTCAATGCCTTTGACTACAATTTGACAGTTCTGTTTAATCGCAGTTTGGTCACCAAACAGTCAACACTAGGCTCCCAAGCGGATCAAAAGACCAATTAACAAAATAAAAAAAAATTAAGTCATATCGTCATAGTCATGAACGGGTGCTGCTTGTGATAACTAGTCTGTTCGGGTTACGGCTGACCGATTTGATTATTTGGTTTTGACAAAAATGCAATGTATCTGCTGGTCAAGATATTCTCCCTAATTGGTTTTTAAAAATCTGTATTTCTCTAATCATGTATGAGTTTTTGTCAATTCTCTGAGGACTCCAAACTGACAGTGGATTTGCCATATCATAAGAATCTGTAACCTACAGACCTACATATTTTTATTTGATTTGAAGTAAAAAAAAATATATAATATGTATTAATATCATACCAGGTCTATCAAAGATAGGAGTAGCTGGTGAAGTGGCGTGGTCGTCGAGAGTGACGTGAGTGGTAGTCCGGCGAACGGCGACTGCTGAGCTACGTCGTAGAGCGCGCCACTGGTTTATTAGATGCCTGAACACCACACATATTAGCAAGGTGGTTTATGTGTGACGAAATGGCCTAAAGCTATTACCATAACTCATAGAATTTAAATACAGATTATATAATAATAATAACCCGGTACAATTCACATAGCGCCATTTAGTCACAAAGTAAAAAGAGCTTGTGTTATGAGTACTAGACAACTGATAGAAATATTTAATTAGTTTTTTTTTTGTAAATATAGAACATAAATAATATACATAGAAAACATACAGACAACAAACAATAATGCTCATGAACAAAAAATTTTTCGACGAATCGAACCCGCGACCATCACAAGTGAGCAGAACAGTTAAAATGGCAAAAGTTTTGTAAACCGATACGGTATTCACTATCGTTTACCATTGAATACAAAAGAAATCTTATTAGAACTATTCATATGATTACAGAAATATATGATTCCCCAGGTGCCCAAGAACTGTTCTGTATTACTCTTACGGGCCAGGAAAGGAAGCGATACTGTAATCATCCCATGGTGAGGCAGCATGGTAAACTACTACACCACAAGGTCGTCAAATTCTCAGTGCGGACTAATCTTTAATTAATACAGCTCACCTGCGTCCATCTCTGTAGTCCCGTAGAGCACCAACAAATGGTAATACATCTCCGGGCACTAGCACACGTGGCCTGGCCTCTGAGAACACGCTTAATTCCTCGCCGGCACCTTTGCGCCAACCAAACGTGTTCGCACTTGCACTCATGTTTAATCTGAATAAAAAAATTGTAAAAATTATACATTTGGTGACAAAATAAAACCATACTTAGCTTATATAATATTAAAGACGTCATACCTTTCAGAAAAGTAGTTACAGTGTGGCATCATAGCAGGCGCGGTGCGCGGTCGGCCCGCATCGGCGCGGCTACGGGCCGACGTTAACTCTGCCTGTAACCGCGCCTGCTGACTCGTCAGATCGTCGATGTGTGTTCGTTGCTGGATAGATTAAAAATTATATTTATAAAAGTTAGCAAGCTCACTCAATTTTGACTACAATATATTGTATCATTTTATTGCACAAAGTAATACTTTAATCGGAACGAAATAGCATACATCCATATTATGTAGGAAATTCGTATGATACAATTCAATGGACTTCCTCTATACAGATATGAAACAGACTTCCAATAAGTTATTTTATTTTAAAACAAATCGGTACAGTTATATATTTATTACACACTTTTCTATTAAACGTAATTTAGATGTTGAGTGTTGTCGAAGGTATCACGAACTGGCCTCCTTTTTGAAGGCTACAAACATGTATTTTAGTAAAAAAAAAAATCAATTCATTCTACGTGCCAATAATGTAGCAGTCTATTGGTAAAACAGATTACAACATTATTTTTAGAGTCCATCCATTACAAACTTCAACAAAAAAAAATCTCATTACAATATTAATTATTCTTTTTACGATTAGCCTGGATGGATAGATTCTGTGAAATGATATGTATAAAAGGAGAGTAAGCTCAGAAATTACGGCTGATAGGGATCTGTGGGAGAAGAGGACATACTGTGCCGACCCCAAATAATGAGATAAATGCCAGGCAATCATGATTAGCCCTAAAATTCTTAAATAGTGTCACAGCAACTATACCTGTCTTGCAAAGTTCTTAAGACTCTCATTTTCATCACGCAAATGCTGCAAGATGTCGTGCTGCATGTGACAGCAGGGCATTTGACGGTCACCGTGACGGTCACAGTCACAACCGCGATCGGCAGCGTCGCCCGCTTCGCTGGAAGCTGACGAACGGCTGCGTTCCCGACTGCGTTGACGATACACCTCGTCGAGATTGGACTGCAGTATTGAAATGCAGATAGAGGATTTAGGCTATTATCAGTCACTAATATAAGAAAAATAATTTAATTGATTTTCAAGTACTTTCCTTCAGTTTGAAATGCAGTATTTAAACCTGTTATTCATAAACCGACAAATGTCTAATAAACAGTTTTGTTCTGTTCTTGTAAGCTATATTTTTAACTTGAAAGATATAGATATTTACAATTTAATAGTAAGTTTAGTTTTTGTTAATATTTTAGCGATACCACATGTGTAAATGACAGAGTTGTGAAACTGTATACATACAAGGTCACAGTTTTAATACATTAAATTGTAAGTAAAACTTTCTATTAAATTGTATACATACAAGTATATACCGTATAAATTCTCAAAATTGTAATATTTATATCAATACCATGGTTTAGAAGAAGTAAAAAGAAAAACCGAGAAACAAAAATACCAAAACAGCAATTTTTTTCACACTAGTTACAGAAAACATAATTGATATAGAGTGGAAATAAGAATTTGTATAATCATCTATGGGATTTTTTTATATAACTGAAATAGAATACAACTGATGGTAAGTGGCAACCGCCTATATACACGAATCGTACGATAGCTCATGTAACACTAGTGACACCGTTTATTCGTTCTAATTGTTGACACACATGCGTTTTTGTACCCCGTCACTTTACTGCCATATCTCATCCTTCAATTCAACAGCTTACAAATTTGCTTAGCGGCTGAAATAGGTCCGACAGCAGTAGCCAAGCAGACGACTTTGACTTGTAGACGCAAGTCGACTTTGGTTTCGCTTTCTAGAAGAAATTAAATTTTACCTGACTAAAATTAACATTCTTTTGTTTCTTCAAATCATTGACCACTTGGTTCGGTGCCCTCGCTCTCTCCTCAGTATCATTCCTCAAATTCCTGTCCGTTTCCTCATTGTTTAGCATTATATTAATCTTAGAAGTGACATCATTCAAATCTGTAAGTGTACCTCTCTCTATCACACATTTAGGCTCCATCTTAGTAGTTTCTAGATACTTCTTCAATATTGAAAGTTCATTTTTTAATAGATCATAATGTGCTTTCAAATCTTCATTCATTATGCTATCTTTCATAGATGTTGTATCAGTTTTGTGGCTTTGTAATTCTAATCGTTCTTGGTTAATATTGTCTCTTTCCTGCTTCATAGACTCGAGGTGGCCTTCTAAAATAACCAGCTCATTGGATATTTGGATACGCATCTCCTCGCCTCGTTTTTTTAAAACCGTTTCCGCTTCTAGTAGTTGACATTTTAGGCTCTCTTCCTGAGATATAGACAGATTGTTTTAATGAATATTAGATTTTTATGAGATTTCATTACACAGTAGGAAACATAACGAACAAGCTGAAAGTACATAAACTTATTGCAATAGATTGAAATTTATTATTTTGCTATTTTAACCATTTGACAAATGCACATAGAGGATTGTAGTATTCGCAACTGCAACTATCAATTCCCTTCATGCCTTTATACATCTTTCATTTCAATCAGTTTCTATTGTAAATTTATTTTTATAATTGATTACAATAGTGCTATATAACTAAACATCTGATTTTGTCTTCATACTTTCATACATCTTATCGTATCTTCTAAATATATATAACTCAAAGGTGCCTGACATATTGATTTATCAACGCACAGCCTAAACCACTGGGCGGATCGGGCTGAAATTTAGCATGTAGGTAGATGTTATGACGTAGGCATCCGCTAAGAAAGGATTTTGGTTAATTCTATCCCCAAGGGGATAAAATAGGGGATGTAAGTTTGTATGAAACTTTGTCAATTTTAAACCGATCGGGCTGAGACTTTGCATGCATAAAGCTACAATGACGTAGGCATCCCCTAAGAAAGGATTTTGATAAATTCCACCCCTAAGGCGAAGCGCGGACAAAAGCTAGTCGTATATAAACATACCTTGCGCGTGAGTCGCTCTGCCTCCCCATGCATAGCGAGCATCGCTCTTGAAAGCTGGGCATGCTGATCACGTAATTGCCTCGCTAAACCCCACAGAAAGCGTTTCTTCTGCTCTACGTTTTTCTCCAATTTAGCCTCCCGAGCTTTGAACGACGCCTCCATCTTTAATATGTAAAGGAGATATTTTTTTTTATTAAACAATTCTTGACATATTACAAATCCCCATATAGAGCCCCATCTAGTTTTACAAAACTCAACTAAGTAGAGTAATGCATTAAAGAAAAGTAAACAACTAAACATTCAGATTAATACAAATCGTCATACACATGAATACAAATGTTATTTTGTCACAAAATATACTGTATTCCTTATGGTTTTATAATTCTTTTAAAATACTCGAAGGATTATTGTTGTAATTATTATATTATCATTATAGTATATCATCATACATATTATACTATATTATTCCTATCTCTTACAATTATGTTGTAAGAATAATTTAGGACAGCATAATTATAACATCTCGCAATTATCTGCTGCATAGTATCTACTATGTTATACCAATGTTTAGTCATATGTTTTTTATTCAGCATATCGTTGTACTATCCATACCTCGTCGTGGTGTCTCTGGAGTTCAGCGACGTGTGTGGCCAGAGTACGCTTGGTCCTCTGGTCTTCTTCCACTTTTACCATCTCCACTTCAGCTTCGTACACACTCTTCAATTGTTGGAACATCTGAAATCACAAATTACATATCTCTACAGATGTTGTAATATTTTACCTACGGTAGTAGATAAACTAAAATAGTCTGTGTTACTTATATTTTGTGAGCTTGTTTCATTGAAGACTAAATTTAAAAAAAATTCAATGAGCACATATCGAGAATAAATATCCTGTTCACCATATATTTAATCATAACTAAAGTTATAAAGTTAACAACACAATGAAAACTACTTACTAAATTAATACAATACAAATACAAATTTAAGGATCACATGAAGAAATTAATGAAATTGGAATTTTGTACTTTTTAATTCATTATGGTAACTATATAACTAAATTGCTGAAGTATTAACTACTAAGTTTTAATACAATGATTGTAATGCATAACATAACAATGAACCTCGTCAATGAGGCTTTTCTCCATGGCGCTTATATTCTTCATGAGTATTTCCATATTTATTGGATTCATATGGGTATCCTTTACAGTCTGTAATACAAAAAGGTAGAGGTGACAAATATAATAAACCCGACTTTTACATTTCCCAAGTTTCAGATACTATAACACTAGTTGCATCTTGAAGCTCCGATAGCGTGTATGTATATTTATTTTTTATTACATCATTGGATTGGCAAACAGGTGATATTAAGCGCTAACAGTTTAACTATACATGAACAGAACAACGGATATCTTGTAACTCAAAGCATGTTGTAAATATGAGAACAGTTAGTATAAGACCATTATAATTGTATAGAATTACGACAGATTTATTATTGCTGTATCTTATGTTGGTAATCCTTAAAAATAAATAAATATCACGCTCTTGGTATCTATAACGCGTTGCCATTCTGGAAGACTAAAATATTAAGCCTCCGCATTTTTTTTTCAAACTATACTGATGCTGTTCGCCGCAGCTGACCATTACGGTTCATCGAAGGAAAGGGGACGAATATAGATGACACTCTAAACCCGCAGATGCACTTATAGAGCAGCTAAGGTCTACTCCTGCTATGACTTTAGTCTAAATACACCGCTAGCGGTTCGAACCGCCTCAAGCCGTCGTAATTTAGATCTCCGTTTGAATTGGACGGGGGATCGATTGGAGGGATCGGGGGATTTATCTAAAGGGTCTCCGTATTCTGTAATTTCACTGGTATATCTTACTCTTTACCCAAAACAGCTTATGAAGAAGTTATTATTGCAGCTGGACGATATGCGTTAGAGAGAAGTACACCCAATGCAGACGACTTGGCACTGAGTCATTTATAATATTATTGGCTACTAACACGACGACTGTCTATACAGTCATATACCTCACCTTTGCAATTTTTTTTCTTTTCTTCATATACTCGTCTTTGACACCATTAATTTTGTTTTGACATATTTTACAGAACACATAATGTTTACATTTCTCATGGCATGATGCACTTTTGCTATTCATTTTCTCTGCTATAGTATCAGAACTCTTAACACTCGATAAGCTTTCCATTGATGAAATATCTGAAGGCATAAATCAAAAATAAAAATTACCTATATTTTACCTGTTACTAGCTGTACCCGCGACTTCATCCGCGTGGAATTTTGCAACATTACTTTATTTTTCTAAAATAAAAGTAGCCTAAGTTGCTCCTTGTTACATCAGCTAGCTGCCAATAAACGTCCTGTCAAAATCGGTCCAGCCATTTCAGAGATTAGCCGGAACAAACAAACAGACAGACAGACAAAAATTGTAAAAAATGTTATATTGGTGTATGTACCGTATTTATATTCATATGCTTGTAGTAAAAAACGGTTATTTCAATATTACAAACAGATACTCCAATTTTATTAATATGTATAGATGTATAGATAGATATACTCCACATATCAACCCTGTGGAACCCATAGTATTTAATTCAATGACGCATGGCCTAAAGGACTTGGAAGTTTCAACACCTTTACATCCATTGACCTGCCAGCTCAAACCATTACACTGAGTATTACTATGCTTCCATCCATCATCTTTCATATTGAGCGGTATCAGGTATGGTAGTCCGTATTCATACGACTTACACATTTATGTTTAATATATACATAAATATGTAAAAAATTATAACTAAAGGGCAAAAGCTTTTCTTGTCCATTCTTATTGGCTCTATCTGTATTGTGAATTGGTGGTTGAATCAGAATAACTATTCTTATTAATATTTAAAATGTATTATGAATTGAACAGAAATAATCTTTATTTAAATAATTAAATTTTTAACACATTTCAATAGCCATTTCAGAACTAAATAAAAGTAATCCAAGTAGGTCCAGAAACTTTTCTGAACACAATATACTTGACATCAATATATCCAAAGAACAACAGTTTCCACCAGGTATTACTTACCTTGTTCTACTGTGATTGCGTCCTTATTATACATTGGTATGCATTTCAATATGCATAACAACAATGGTGGATTTTCCTTACTCTTGTACAGTTGAACCACTTTGCATGCATGTTCTGAGTCACACCTAATACCTGAATAAATATGTAAATATACATGAGACAAAAACATATTTATATTGCTAGGTCCCATACAAGGTAGGCAAAGAAAGGTAACTGCATATTTCATATATTTATTGTTGCACTTTTAGATATATTAGTAATTAGAAACAATATGAGCACAAGAGAGATATCAATCCTTAGAAATAACCTCGCATCCTATATTAATTATGTGAAAGTATTAGGAACTTATAAGATGCCACACATCAAATATACAATGACAATTTAATTCTGATAGATATGACAAATAGAGATGCTTTTTTTTAAATTATGCAGTAAGAGAACATTGGTACATATAAATACTAAATAAACTCATCTATATGAACACAATAAGGCGGTCTTACACCATTAAGTAATTGATAACATCCTTCATATTATACAAACTCCTTTTCATTGTCGTCATAAGCATAAAACTGATTGTATCGGCAATTGTAAATACATATTTAAATAATTTTAAATAATTGTAGCATTATTACCCAAATAGTTGAGGATGGACCACACATCACCATCTTCAAATCTCAATGTTGGGCTAGCTTCATTATGACTTTGTAACAATGCTTTAGCGTATGAGAACACCATGTTCGCAAGTGGTATCTCCGATACAAATACTGATAGGCTATAGCTGAATTCCTGTAATTAATAGACAGGGATAAAATTAATAGTATTTATTAAAAGTAGTTAGTAGTTCATTAAAAAATATACAACTTGAATTCAAGGTCAATCAAATTCAGATCAGGGAGGAAAGACAGATCATAATTATATTGTACAGCAGTTGCCTAAGACAGAAATCCATCTTATATAATGTCCCTTTCAAATATATATTTTTTCTAATAGGTGTTTTAGTTGCAGAGAATAATTTCCACATATAGAGACTCTGTATCACTCATGGTTGCCTAGTAGAGTATGCAACAAGGTGTAAATGTCTGGTGCAGAAAGGTGTTAAGTCAGCCATACATACTTTTTATCTTCTATATAATGTGCATTATAGTTAAATAATGTACACTCACCAAACATAACAGATACTCTGCAATAAGTATGTTCAATGCTTGGTATGTTAGATCTAGACGTTGAGTGAAGTGTCTTTGACATGGTGGTGGATCACCTGTTACAAACAAAATATTCATATAAAAATCACAAACATTGTCTAGGATTATTTATTGTGGTATAGTGACTATGATGGAACTATTAAGGACCTACTTTTTCATGTCACTTAAAGATACAGTGATAAATTGTCACCTCTTATGTCTATTATTAATGTTATTGTGAATTGTTAATATTATATATACTTAATGATACATACAAAATAATGTCTAAAAAATAAAAAATAATCAGAATTTAAAAAGAAATTATTAGACAAAGTTGTGTGTTATTAATTTTCTAGGTTTTAGGTCTAGGTATTAGTTTTCTAGGTAGGTAGGTTTAATTGAATAAGAATATTATATAATTAGTATTAGGGTTGTATAGAATAGAGAAAAATGGAGGGAAATATGTATTACATCTTTACATGTTATAAAATGAAGATGTTTCCACTTTCAGTTCTTTTTTTTTAACTATTAAACTATGCAATATATTTTGATGCAGATGCAGATGCATAGCATGCAGTGCAGATTTTAGCAATACATAGACTAATTCAAATTGATGGTTTATATGTATAATACATGCACAGTTGTGCAAAGCGAAGCTAGCAGTAAATAAATAGATTGAATTTTAGCAGTTGTTATTGCATTGTTAATTTATTTCATTTTTATTATATGATATGATTATACAAAAACATCAGGGCTAGGTGACTAATAGTCTTCAAGGGCTGCAGTATTTTTTAAATACCAATATGCATCTTAATTTACATATTCACAAAAAGTACATGGGGCAATTAAAATTAGGATTAATATTAATATGCATATAAACAAAAAACATTATACATATATATTATATTTATGACACAGTTTATTGTACCTAGATAGTATCTAAGCATTAAAATAGATCTACTATATCAGAAATACCTAATCATCTGTATGTGGGTTTGAGATTAAAAACTAATTTAGTGTTTAACAACATTTACCTGTTTGCGCACTTTTTAACACATCGACAATATGTCCACGTAAATACGCTCTCAAATCGTTCAATACGCCGTTTTTCTCGAATAATTCATAAATAAACTTTTGGAAGTTTTCCGCAGAATCGTTTTCTTTTGCATTTTTATCTACAGGTGTATGCTGAACATTTGGTTCGTCACTTACAATACATTCCATTATAAAGAAATAACAATATAGATCAGTTGATGCGTATTGAATTTTATTGTTACGTTACATCGTTTTCAGCGTCAACATTAAATATTTTTCACAGTTCACTGGAATTTCAAACTTCCCAAACATATTTTGACATTACTCCTTTTGTTGACATTTTCATTTTATTCGCTATCAACGACATCAACACAATGTCTATTTTATTATATAGAGAATACTTTAGCAATTATTTTGTTAAATAGGAGTAGAAAAATTGTATATTGATTTAAAAATTACAGTCTAATTGAATATATATTAATTTTAAATAATATTTAAATATTAGTATGTACTTTTATACAGTACGTTCTGCATTGTGTATAGTCTATACCTATTTTGACTTTTCGTTCATTAGTCCCTGTGGCGCAGAGGATAGCGCGTTGGACTTCTAATCCAAAGGTCGTGGGTTCGATCCCCACCAGGGATGCATAAATGCATTTTTTTGTAATTTGTTAATATGTAATTTCATTTTACAAATCTGTATTTAATTTTAATACTTTAGCAGTGATAAAATAGAAAATTTTAAAACAAACTTAATAGAAATGGTAAAATGATAGAGGCGGCGCATTTATAAAGTGTTTGTAAAATTGTGAGTTCAATTAACAATTTTGTAATGTAAGAAATTAAGTATATTTTGTATCCATCCCAAGGACGTATGTAATAATAAGAGACAACCAATTTTTTTAATGCATGTATAGAATGATGCACTCGCCTGTGCTAAGAGTATACTCTGGTGTGACGGGATGAGTACGTAATCTAGTCAGTTAAGTAATCGTGGCAAAATTAAAATCATAAAGAATGTATCACGATGGTTTCCAGTAAGGACCTGATATAGTACAATGATAGCAATAAGAATGGATTGTGAGAAAAGAAAGAAAGAAAGTAATGAGTAGGATGTCTATTAGCCAGGTTAGTGTGGTAATGGTAGAACAGCAATAAAGAGAAACCGATTTTTAATTACGTAACGTATACTTCTTCTACAATCGTACTGGGTTGAAGGGTGAGGGAACTGTTAGTAGACCTACTGTAATAGTGACTGAGATTGTGATTTTAAATAAATATAACTGTCCTTGAGCACCCGCCTGTACTTACGATTTAAGCTGGCGGTGACGAGTGGAGGATGCCATTAGTGCAAGAAGGTGCATCAGTCTATGCATAATAGAACTATAATAAACTATAATATATATTATTGTTACCATACTAACAATGTCACCAGGGGAATGCCATTTATATTGCTAACAATAGTCAATTTCCGTGCGTTTCCCCCGAAATTATGATGGATAATGTATATATATTTATCGCAGCTAGGGATATATATATTCATATATCTCCAGCAAAGCTGCAATGTCTAACAATCTCCAGCGGTGATCAATACTATTGTGCAATTTATGCAGCAATTATGGGAGTACATAATGAACTCATAAATTATATACCTAAAAATATAAAAAAAATAATTACTAAACATTGCATAATATTATACATTAACTAGCTGTCCAGGCAAATGTTGTTTTGCCTTAAAATAAAAAAAAAAATAGGGGTGGACTACCCGTAACATTTAGGGGGATGAAAAATAGATGTTGGCTGATTCTCAGACCGACTCAATACGCTCACAAAATTTCGTGAGAATCGGTCAAGCCGTTTCGGAGGAGTATGGGAACGAAAACTGTGACACGAGAATTTTATATATAAGATAGTGCCTGATTTAAAAATAATCTTATACTTTTACGCAGTCATTTATTAGTTACATTATTATGATGTCATTTTTTTGTTTAGAAATGATGTGCATGCATGACTCTATATCATTAGAGACCTCATTCAATGGCCAATCCGTAACTTAATCTTGTGAGTAATAGGTCTATTCAGGGTCTATTCAGGGTGTCAGTATTAACGTCAGTGTCATTTTCTTTTCATTCGCATTCATTCATAAAATTACTCATTTGGGTTTTCTTTTGTTTTTATAATGATTGTTTCACAGAGTACTTTATTATATATGATTGTTTTGTTTTGATACTAATTCAAGTGAAAGTCAATAATTTTCTTAATAATATAATATATATAATAAATAATATATATATAATTACATAAATAAATATATTTACGTGCTGCTGTTCGCTTTCATGTATAGTGGGCAGAAGTTAGAAAACTATTTATTATCTATAAGATTGAACTGATTATTTTTAAAATTTTCACAAAATATAAAAATGAGGCGTCGTGCTGGTGTGGGCGCTATACAGAAACAAAAACTAGAGCAGGAGAAATACAGAGAGAAAGGTTCTGAGATACAAGAGAACCAATTTCAACAGATGTCAAAGCAGCTTGATGTCTTCAGAGAAAATCTTGAAGAGTTCGCCTCGAAGCATAAAAGTGAGATCAAGAAGAATGCACAGTTCAGGCGGCAGTTTCAAGAGATGTGTGCAGCAATAGGTGTAGACCCGTTAGCATCGGGCAAAGGGTTCTGGTCAGTGCTTGGTAAGCTCTTTTAATATATTAAGATAATGTAATATTCACTAAAATCATTTTAAATTATGTCTACTGACCCTTGGAATTTTTAAATATATCTCTTTTATATGACCATTAATTTAGGTTCAGAATTTAAAGATTTTTGGATCATAAGTGAAGAAATCAGCTATTGTTTGTTTGCCATATTTATCTGTATTCTTATAGCAAATCCGACAATTTTCTAGTAGCTTATACATGGCTGTTGAATGCATTTCTATCCAACTCATTCAAAATATATCAATGGTCAATGGAAAATTAATAGTTTTGTTTATTATCATACTAGCTACTCGCCCCAGCTTCGCACGGCTGTACATGTATTATATATAAACCTTCCTCTAGAATCACACTAACTATTAAAAAATACAGCTTCTTCAAAATCTGTTGCATAGTTTTAAAGATTTAAGCATACATAAGAATGGACAGACAGCCTCAGCCATTTCGCTTTATATTATGTAATGATTACAAAATACTACTTGTATTTATTTTTCATTTATATGTGATATTTTGTTATTTGATAAGTGACTTTTTCTACTTTTAGTTACAAAGTTTAAGTTCATACTTAAATAAAAGATAATCTATATCTCTTATATTTTGTCACACCAAATAAAATTAAAATATATTTATTTGTTTAATCATGAAAAGGTAAGACTCAGGCAGACATTATCTGGTTTATAAGCATGGATATAATATAATCGTGATATAAATTAGTGTTAATTTTGACTTTTCAGGGATTGGTGATTTCTATTATGAGTTGGGTGTTCAAATTGTAGAGGTATGCTTAGCAACAAATTACAAGAATGGTGGTCTTATAACATTAGAAGAACTTCGCACAAGGCTTATTGCGGCTCGAGGAAAGGCAAAGAAACATCAAGACATTACAAATGAGGATTTGTTAGCAGCTGTCAAAAAACTTAGAATATTTGGCAATGGGTAAGGAGTGTTTTTTTTTTATTGTAGTATATCTACAAATTGTACATTATTCTTTAATTAGGTCAAAAATGTTAAATAATCCTAGATTAATTTGTGTTTAGGGACTGGTCTGCTCTGTAAATAGTATTTGTTTTATTTTGTTACTTAAGTAACTATTTATCTTATTAAAATTGCTATTTGGCAGCTTGTCTTCATATAAAATCTTAAAAACAGAATACTGAACATTTATTTATTTAAAAGAGTAACACATATGTTTCTTGCTCATTTGTTTTGTGATGAATCTACATTCTGCAAGTGTGGTACAATAAAAATATGACTATTCAAGTATTTATTTTAAGTTTATTTGTATTAAGGTTATATCAATTTCTATCTGCTTGGAAAGTTAATATATTTTGGTTGTGTTCATGTCCTATATGAATATATCAATATGATATTTGAAAATGTGTTATAACTATTCCTATGTAGCAGTTCCAAATAAATTGTATTATAAAAAATATTTGAAATATCTTATCCTCATAACCTGTAGGTATGTGTTTAATTTTAAAAAACGTGAATTTCACCACATTGGTTTATTATATGAAAGTGTTTAATAATACAATTGTATATTAATATTGTAATATGTATAAAATATTTACAGGTTCACAGTAGTTTCAATAGGTAAAGGAAAATGGTTAGTGCAATCAGTACCTGGTGAACTCAATTTAGATCAAACCCAGGTGCTTCAGAAAGCCAGTTCTTTAGGTACTGCATGGGTGTCAACCACTGTCCTCATTAGTGACCTAGGGTAAGAAATATTTTATGTAATATTTTTATACAATTGATGGCCCACCTGATGGTAAGTGGTAAACATTGTAATACATTTAACAGTTTAGATAAAATTACTTGGACTGAGGGTGATGAAAATAGGTAATAAATTGTCAAATAGTCTTGTTGACAACAATCGATAATATAAAATTAATATTTTTGGTACCTTGCATGTTAGAACTAAGTCACAAGTCTATATAGTATAATATAAGAGATGAAGGCCTACAACATTAATATTTGACCTTAAAACAAGTACTTTCATTGTTATATACTTTTAAGCAGGTATAGTTTCTTGTAATATTGGATGTATATTGAGTTTCAATATTGATATTTAATGGAGTCTTTTGTTACAGATGGAATGAAACAAGGGCTCAAAATGCACTAAACCATATGGTTAAAGAAGGACTAGCTTGGGTTGACACACAGGAGCCGAAAGAAACTTTATACTGGTTTCCAAGTATGTTTGCAGAGTGTGTATCAGCAAATTAAATATATAAAATTCGTGGATACTAAGAATAATTTAAAAACATTTTATATTAATTTATTTTATAGTAATAACTATTACAACCTTAATGGTGCCTATGCTATTATTTTGTATATTGTATCAAATAAATTGTTCCATTATTTATATATATAGGATTTTGGGAATGATTATGAAAACAAATGTTATTGTTTAGTCAATTCAAGTTATTTTATTTAATAATAATAATAATAGTTGTTACCACTTACTAGTAAAAAGTCCATTAAAAAAATATATATATATATATTATTGCTAAATATGTTGATAACTGTTGTAATTTAAAATTTGTGTATTATTCTATTAAAATAACTATTTTGTAAATAAATTTGTTTTCGAAATAAGAATAAGTATCTTCTATCTATATACATATGTATATTTATGGTTATTATAAAATATAATAATTTCTAAATATTGCACAATTTTAATAAAGTTATTTTCTTATTAACTAGACGAGCTGGCATTATCATGAGACTCAGATTGGGTCATTTGTAATTTCGATTTCAATTCTATGTTTTCTATTTGCAAGTCTTCCAATTTCTTTTTCATTTTTTCAGTCATTTCCACATAGGACTCTTTCCACCTGGAATTAAGGGATACATTAAGTACATGCATATTGTAGTGTTGGAAAATAAAATCAAATTAGAATGTTACTTTTTGCTAAGTTCCATTTGATTTTCTAGATGTTTATTCAGTTCTAATAATTCTTCTTCTTTTGTAGACACCATTCTGAAAGAAAATTTTGTTGTTATTAAAAAGAACGTGAATTTATATTTATGATAACTGTGCTGCAATCAAATCATACTTTTGATTTAATTCTGTTCTTGATGACAACATTTTTTGTAATTTGCTTATCATTCCATGTGTTTCCTCCAATGATTTTTGAAGGTGTCCAACTTGTATTCTATAATAAAAATAATATTGATTATAATTCTATATTAATCAAAATACTTGTTATTAATTTTTGATTACTAACACTTACTTTAATTCTTCACACTGAGTCTTCAAAAGGCCTTCTTCCCAGTCTCGTCTTTTTCTCTCTCTCGTGTGAATGTCTTGTATTCTTTGTATATCTATAGCCAAGCATTGTTTTTCGCATACCAGTTGGATGTTTCGTCTTTCAGATGTTACCTATTATATTTTAATAGAATAAAATAGCATATTTATATATCATGATGGGACGTGATTAATACTAAACATATGACATTTTTTCAACACAAGTTTACAAACCAGTTCTTGGAACATTGCTTCCAATCTTTGTTCTGCCAGTGTCAATTTAGGATCTGCTATATTTTCACATTCTTTCTGTTGTTTTAAATAGCTTTCATTTGTTGCTTGTAGTACTTTGTTTTGCCTAAAAATAATACTATTTTATTAATTTCCGATAACATTTCTGAGAGACTATATTCTAAAGGAGTATGGTATTTATAAACCTTAATGTTTTGTTAAGAAGTAATCCTTTTTCCACTAATTCGGTGTCTAGATTTTTTATATGTTCAAGCATATCTGTCACTTTCTCATTGTATTTTTCTTTTATGTTATCTAATTCTTTTTTATAATTTGATTCTATGTCATATCTAACATTTGCTAATGTCTGCTTCAATGTGATCAATTGCTCTGAAATAATATTAAACGACTAGGTTACTTTATTCCTTGACTTTATAATAAAGTTATAAATTCAACAAATATAATGTTTATAATTAGGTACATAGTTACCTGACATGTCATTAATTATCTTATGTGCTTCTTTCTTTTGCTCTGATACTAAATCGAAAAGATGTAGTGCTTCTGCTACCTGAAAAATATATAGGCTATAAAATTAATCATATAAATATTTTATTGTATATTTGTTTCTACCACCACCTTTGCTTTGGCTTCTATTTCTTTTCTTATTTTTTCAGTGCTTTCTTTTTGGCATAACTGTAATTGTCTTCTTACATCCTCATTAGTCTTTTTGTCTATTGTAGAATTCACTTTGTACTCATCTAGTGTTTTAGTTATTTCGCAGACCTTATCTTCTAATTGTTTGCCCCTCTCTTTATAATAATTTATTTCTTTTTCTTTTGTCTTAATATTATTCTCTAACTCATTGTTATTTTTATTTATTTCTTTATATTTGGATTCCAGCTCTACATAGTCTGTTAATGCCGTTTCCAGTTTTAGTTTTAAATCCCGATTTTCTTCATTAGTATTCTATGACAAGATAAATAAAATGTAGTTATTTAATTCATATAATTTTACCATAATATATTCTTTTTTTTATTATGTTATATTTACCTGGCCACCTCTATTTTCATAAGATTGATATGTTTTCAATTCAGTTTCTAAAGCGTCAATAGTTTTCTGCGACGTTTGCCATAATACATGTAAAGAGTCTCGTTCCTGAAAATAACTTAATAACTTTTATCTTATTTTTTTATGAGAAGGACCAATATTATTTATAATTTCGTTATCACTACTTTTGAAGATAAGGTATTTGTATCTATGCATAATTTCTTGTAGGGAAGTCTTCATAAATTTAAAAATAAAATGAACTCTTCATTTAATGTAATCCCTTCGCTATATATGTTCACAGAGAATTTTCTTTCTACTTATGAAACCTAGAGTTAACGGTCAAACAACCTGAAAATTATATCGTACCAACTGACCATGTAGTAATAATATTACGTCTAAAAGCATTTACTGGGAAATCTTAATTGTTTATGGTTTTGTTCAAGTTACTTGGTGCAAAATAATGATAGAAATTTCACTTTAATAAAATAGAACCTTAATAAGTAAAGTATTTTGTCTACTTAGTTCCTCTACTTGGTTGTTCTGGTCAATATCTTGGCTGTGTGGGTGTCTCGCATTCTCAAGTTTTTCTTTTAACAACACTCCGACCTGTTGTGATAGCTTTTGATTGTCTGCTATCAATGTTCTGATTTCTTGTTCTACTACTGTTTGATTTTGCTGAAAATAAATGTATTATTTTTATAGATTATAAATACTGTTTATGATAGGTCTTGTGAGGGATCCTATAATAATGTCCAAAATAAGCATGGATGGTATTATGGCGATGGCACGATGCCATAGCCTGGAAAGTGTCAGGTCCTAGTATTTGTTTTTCGAGGGAATAATGAAGATAGATAATGATAAGGAGAGAGCTGAACGTCATCACTATAAAAGAGATATGGTGGTCCTGTCTAGGTTAATCATTATGTACTGCGCGGAAGGACTTATGGAGAGGCTGAAGATCAACTCCCACCTGACGGACACGACATTAATCTGAGGACACCGCTAGGGGTTGGCTCAGGCCGTCGTAACATCGGTCCCCGTTTGAATTGGAAGGGGGATCGATCGAAGGGGTATGTACTGGTGGAGCATAGTTAGGGACACGTGAAAAAATAACGATGAATTCTGTTCCTAAGTGAACAGAATTCATCATTATTTTTCTTCTTGAAATCAGGAAGAATGAACTATGATGGACTGTCGGTCTCGTGTGTGTTAATGATTGCTTGATTAATAATTGATGAGTGTGAATTGCTGTCCTACCTGCCTAACAGTAGGCGTGCGCTGGCGAGGCACTAGTGGATGTTAGGATTAGCAATAAGTCAGGCCATCGTGACAAATTCACCAAGAATGAATCACAATGGTTTCCAGGAGGAACCGCGTGGAGGTCGACTTGACATTGTATGTTACTAACAATGGGGTTGCTATATTCCTTACTAACAATCCCGTCACACCCGGGCTAATGGCACCCTGGCAGGGGATCAGTGTAGGATAAGGTAAGTTTGCCTAAAAGATCTTATGACATCCGATCAATTACAGAAAAGAGATGTTTGGATCCATATCTAATAAATTAACAAACCCGATAAAATTCCACCTCATTTTGAAGAGCGTCCAAGGTCGTGTCCATTTGTTCCTAAATATTAATAGAAACGCCTGAATAATATACAGTTGAAACTTGATTAATTACAAAACATTGCATATAAATATTTTTTTAAATATTACTACTATTACTATTATTAATATTACTATTACGGGTTATATTGTAATATTATGGACAACTAATTCGATTTGTTTACATTTCCCGCGATTTACGTTCGTAGTTGCTAAGCAACCAACTTATAAATGTTACTTACCAGAGTAAAATAACTGTACTAAGATTTTCTAATTTATATTTACTTTAATAGGAAGAGGAAAAGGAATTTATAATAAATGGTAGTAGCTTTATAAAAAATAACTTATCACTTACATGTAATTCATAATCGTAGCTTATTATCATAATTCAACACACTCTATCTTTCTTGATATTCTTTGCTCTACCTACGGAATAATGATTAAGAAATCTCGTTCTTAGACAACGAACAAGTAAGAAATCAAATTAATTTATAAATTGACACATGGCTGTATGGACACAGTCTCCTTTGTCTTTCTTTTAAAGGATAAACATATCAAATTGACATAAACTGTCTGACAGATATGTCAAATTATTGTTTTGGATCTCGGATGGGCAAAGACTGATCGGACGAGCGCGGGAACGCTTGAAAGGAAGCGCGCTATTTTAAAAATTTTATTATATTTTATTTGGTTTATTCAATTGTATATCGTATATATTGTGGTTAAAATAAAATAAATAACCCACAACATGGGGAAGAGTAGAAGAAAGCGTAAAAAGCCTGTATCTCCAGATGATCCAGATAGTGACTGCAAATCTTCAACTTCATCCGAATCTGACGAAGTGGAATTAGATCAGAAAGAACTGTATAAAACTTATTTTGTCACGGATTATCATAGACGTTATCCAGAGGATTCCGGTGCAACTGAATTCGTTGTATTCGTTGAGTCTAGTGACCCTAAAACTATAATAGGCTCTAGAGACCTTCTATCTCTTTCATCTTGTTTAAAAAGGTTTAATAAAGGAGTCAAGTATCTCAGAAGCTTAAATAAGTATAAAATAGGAGTATATTTTGAGAAACCTGGCCTTGCAAATGCTTTCCTAAATAATTTTACCTTTCTTAAAGAATACCAATTTAAAGCGAGTATACCAGCTGGATCCACAGAAGTTACAGGAGTCATTAGGAATGTCCCATTAAACCTATCCAATAAGAAGATATATACCATGATATCAAGTTATAAAAAAATTATATGTGTTCGGCGGTTTCTACGTAAAGTTAAAAATGATACTAACTTTTTCTACAGCCAACTCAGACCATAGCAATCACTTTTGCAGCTTCAGTTCTTCCAGATTATGTGGACCTTGAAGGATGGCGACACGATATATCACCATACATCGCTCCTGTGAAGCAGTGCTTCCGTTGTTTGAGGTATGGACATCTAGCTAAATATTGTAAAAATGCAGAGACATGCTCCATATGCAAAGGAAGTCATAATTTTAAAATATGCGATACACCAGTAGAAAATGCCAAATGTTTCCATTGCGATGGTAATCATGTTAGTATTTCCTCCAAATGTCCAATCAAACAAAAAAAAATTATAGAAAACAGAAACAAAGCTCAAACATCTTCATATGCAGATGTATTTAAATCTTTCCCATCACTAGGTACTAGACAGAATAAATATAATAATGATTTGATTTCTTTTCTTAAAAATGATGATAAATCTCTTGGTCTCTTAGTAGAGTCCATAGTAAAATTGATTACATTAAATAAAACTCAATATACTTCAATTTGCACAAAAAATTTATTAGACATTCTTACTGAAAATTTCAGTAACAAAAACATTAGCTCTCAAAATTCACCTTAAATAATTTAAATATAGCTCAGTGGAACGCTCAAAGTCTGCTGGGCAATCGACATTTACTCACACATTTTCTTTACAGTAATAACATACATATTGCACTTTTATGTGAAACTTGGCTTCGGCCACATCATAAATTAAAAATAAAGGGTTATAAAATAGAACGCAATGACTCGGGTAATTACCACAACGGTGTTGCTATTATCATACATGAAAACCTTCATTATAATAGAATTAATATGTTTTCTGACGATTCAATACAAACTTTAGTCATTCAGATCATTATAAACAATGAAAAAATATCATTAGCTACTATTTATTGCCCCACCAATTGTTCAGTACCTTTCACAAAATCTAAACTTGTTAACTTTGTAAATAATACTCCTAAGCCTTTTATAATTGCTGGTGATTTTAATGCACATCACACCATTTGGGGTTGTGATTCAATTAAACCCAGAGGTAGAGATATTTTGGAAACTTTAGATGAATGTAACCTAGTTTTATTAAACGATGGTCATGTCACTACTGTAGGTAGTCATATTTGGAAGCCAAATGGCTTGGATTTAACCATAGTTAGTCCTTCTTTATCCCTTTCATGTAACTGGTATGTTTACGAAGATCCGTTAGGCAGTTATCATTTGCCAACAATAACACAATTAAATTTACAATATTCCAATTTTTCTTGTAAAGGAGCAAATAATTGTGTATCAGTTCCAGTAAATCGGCGTAACTTGCGACTTGTAAACTGGGACAATTACAGTAAAATTGTTAATTCCAAATTACAAGGCTTTTCTGTCAATGAGAGCGATCCGTGTTCAACATATGACACTTTTTGTAATATTATTTTAAATTCTATTGATATTGTTCTAAATAAGAGTTCATCGGCACATCAAAAACAATACAATTGTAATTCTTCTAGCAATTCTAAACTATCAAAATATAAGCATCCTCCAGTACCATGGTGGAATGACACTTGTGCAACAGCTGTTCGTAAAAGTAAACAAGCATATATAGATTTTAAATATGATCCTACCACAGATAATTATATTAAGTTTAAAAGATTGCAAGCGGAAAAAAAACTTACTATTAAAACTGTGCGTTTACAAAGTTGGCATGAATACTGTTCTAATTTAAACAGAACCACTTCTATATCTAATGTTTGGACAAAAGTTCGAAAATTTAATAAGAAATATATAAATAAACCTCGCACTTACAACTCAGGTAACGATGATATGTGGTTAAATGAATTTTTACACAAATATACTCCAGATTACGTTGCGAGCCCTTTTACAACAGTTCCTAACAATTCTGATAAAGCTAAAGATATTTTCTTTGATAAACCTTTCAAATTAGCAGAGCTTCAATCAGCATTAAAATCAAGAAGGGACACAGCAGTTGGGTTGGATAATATTTCATACAAAATGTTGAAAGCATTAAATGGTAACAATTTAAATACCTTCTTAATTATTATAAATTTATTATGGTATAACTCTATAATTCCAAAAGAATGGAAAACAGATTATCTTATTCCTGTGTTAAAGCCTAATAAAAATTTATATGTTGCTGATTCTTATCGGCCCATTACATTAACATCGTGTATAGGAAAAGTTTTTGAACAATTGCTTAAACAAAGACTAGAGTTTTATTTCGAGTCTCAAAATCTATTGCCGTCGAATCAATTTGGATTCAGACGAGGATTTTCAGCTCGGGAAAGCTTAGGGCATTTTTATATCGATATTAAGAAAGCTTTAGAAAATAATCAACATTTGGTAGCAATTTTTCTGGATATAGTGGGTGCATTCAATAATGTAAATCCGAAGATTTTGGCAGATATCTTAATTTCTGTCGGAGTTTCAAATAAACTAGCAATATGGTTATATAATTTTATGAATGGTCGAAAATTATACGTTAAAGTTAGTAATGTTTCATGTATAGGTCCTCGCTTATCTCATGTAGGAGTATCACAAGGTGGTATACTTAGTCCTTTATTATATATTATTTATGTTCATAGAATTAATGATGCTTTAGGGCCTTATGTCCATAATCTCCAATTTGCTGACGACTTAGCTGTATATTGTTATGGTTGAAGTATGTCAATGTCAATGTCAATGTGTGATGTTGATTAATCTATTAATGTTACTTTCTCTCTTGTTAATTATCTGTCATTGTGTAAGTTTATAAGCTTCCTAATAAATATTAAATATAAAATATAGACTGCATATTATTTTAAAATATCATATAAAACATGGCGCAGTGGTATTTACTGTAAGTCTAAACAGTGTATTTCGGCTATAACGATATCAAATCTGAAGCTTACCACGGATTAAAATTTCAAACAACATGGAGCGTAGCTGGGTGAAATTGCCCCCAAACTTCGACATTCGAGCTCAATCTGCAGCAACTGAATGGAGAGCTTGGAAAAGCATGTTTATAGATTATCTAGTGGCTGTCGGTAGTGACAAGGCTACAGACCAAATTAAATTATCTCTGCTGAGGAACATGATGGGTCCTGAGTCGACGAAAATCATATTATCGTTTAAGTTATCAAAGGAAGATAGTGAAAACTACAATAAAGTGTTACAAGAAATTGAGAATTATGTCAAGCCTAAATCTAACGACGTTTTTGAAAGGTACAAGTTTAATGAAAGAAAACAATTGGAAGGTGAAAATTTTGAAAGTTTTTACACTAATTTAAGGTTACTGATTGTAAATTGTAATTATATAGAGTCTATAGAGGATGATTTACTAAGAGATCGTATCGTTCAAGGCATTTTCGATAAACAATTACAAGAAAGTTTGCTCCGAGTCGAGAACTTGACGTTGGACAAAGCTACAAGTAGATGCAGAGCAGCAGAAGCTAGCCGTTCTCAAGTAATGGAAATGAATCCAACCTGTATTGAAGTAGATAGAGTAAAGAGTTATGGAAATAAAAGAACTGAGAAGAAGTTTCAAAGAAATATAAATAATAAATTTGATTGTCGTCGTTGTAAAAGTCAGCATGGTCCGAGAGAGTGTCCTGCATATGGAAAAAAATGTGCAAAATGTGGTATATTAAATCACTTCGCAGTGAGCTGTAAAGTGAAGAAAATAAGTGAAGCTGTGTGTAATAAATCAAATTCATCAAATGAAGAGTTATTTTGTGGAGTAGTGTTGTCAAATATAAAAAAGAATAGAAGTGAGTGGGAAGAAAATATACAAATAGAGGACAAAATTTTTAAGTGCAAGCTAGACACAGGAGCGGATGTGAGTATTCTGCCAAAGAGTGTATTTGATAAATTAAATTATAAGTTAAATTGTAAAATTCAGAAGACAGAGTTAACAGTACAATCTTTTACTGGAGAAAATATTAAGCCAATAGGCATTGTAAATCTTAAATGCAAGTATAAAAATAAAATATGTAATGAGAATTTTGTCATAGCTGAAGCAAGTAACATACTTTTAGGTTTGCCGGCATGTGTCTCATTAAATTTGGTGAAACGAATTCATAGTGTTCAGGTGACAAATAATGATAAAGATAAATTTGTAAATAATAATATAGTAGTTTTTGAAGGAATAGGAAGGTTGCCAGGAAAAGTTGAAATTCCTACCAGACCTACAGAAGAATATATTTGTCATCCTTCTCCGAGATTACCATCTTGTTTGCTTGAACCTTTAAAAGCAGAACTAAATAGATTAGTAGAGAGAAAATCAATTGTTAAAGTTAATAATATTAGTGAAAATGCATATATAAACAGAATGGTAATAGTAGAGAAGCCAAATCGTAAAGTTAGGTTATGTCTCGATCCATTAGACTTAAATAAAATTATTGTAAAAAAACCTAAATGTTTACCCACATTGGAGGATTTAAGTTTTAAATTACAGGGTAAGAAGTTTTTCTCTGTTTTAGACTTAACTGAAGGCTTTCATCATCTAAGTTTGTCTGAGGAGTCATCTTGGAAGTGTTGTTTTGCTACACCTTATGGAGTTTATAGATATCTTGTTTTACCATATGGTTTAATGAATGCACCAGAATTATTTCAGGATGTACTTGAAAGTCATTTTTCAGAGTTGTCAAATGTTATTATTTGGGCTGATGATATTTTAGTAATGGGAAACACTGAAAAAGAGCATGATTTAGCATTGCAGAGTGTAATCCAGAAAGCAAAGAAATTAGGTATTGTTTTCAATAAAAATAAATTTCAATATAAACAAAGAGAGGTTAAATATGTAGGCCAAGTTTTTAATGAATATGGAATGTCACTTGATCAGGATAGAGTTGAGTCATTAGTTAATTTAAAAGAACCAAGTAATAGAGATGAGTTGAGACAAATATTAGGATCTTTCAATTATGTACGAAGGTATGTGCCTGACATGGCAAATATAATGGCACCACTTTTCAAATTATTAAAGAAAAATTCTGAGTTTACATGGTTACCTGCTCATAGTCTTACTTTTACTGAGCTGAAAAGAAAAATATGTTCAGCACCATCTTTGACACCTTTTGACCCCAAAAAGAAAATTATTTTACAATGTGATGCAAGTAAAAGTGGATTAGGTTGTTGTCTATTTCAGAATAATGATCAAAATATATTAAAGTTAGTAGCATGTGCATCTAGATCTATGAATGATTCAGAGCTTAATTATAGTCAGACAGAAAAAGAATTATTATCAATATGTTTTGGTATAAAAAAGTTTCATAGATATGTTTATGGTTGCAATGTTGATGTTCAAACAGATCACAAACCAATTGTATCAATTATGTCAAAACCAGTTTGTAAAATAGGATCTCCTCGTTTGAAACGCTTAAGATTGAAATTATTTACATATAATTTGAATGTATATTATGTACCAGGAAAGTTATTACATTTCGCTGACATGTTATCAAGAAATTGTCTAAGTATTACAGAAAATGATAATCAAATGTCACAAATAGTACACTCTGTTACTGTACACTTGCCTATGTCAAAAGAAAACTTTGTTAAGAAAAAGGAAATGGAATATAAAATAGGAGATAAGGTAGTTCATAAGACTGATAAAGACAAATTTTGGAGAAAAGGTATTATTGTGGGAAAATGTAAAGAACCTAGATCTTATTGGATACAAAAGGAGGGAGAAGATAGGAAAATAAGAAGGAATATTAAACATATAAAGAAATCTTTTTCAGATTGTAAAAGTGCAAATAAACTCAATCCTTTTTTATCTAATTATAATGAAGATTTTGATCAGGAATCTGATATAAATCTAAATGTTCCCATTTCACCTAGACCTGTAATAACCTGTAGGAATCAAGTACCACTAAGTGTAACTACTAGATATGGTAGAACTACTAAGCCTAGAAGGGTGTTAGATCTGTAAGCTAAAGGGGAAGGTGAAGTATGTCAATGTCAATGTCAATGTGTGATGTTGATTAATCTATTAATGTTACTTTCTCTCTTGTTAATTATCTGTCATTGTGTAAGTTTATAAGCTTCCTAATAAATATTAAATATAAAATATAGACTGCATATTATTTTAAAATATCATATAAAACAATGGTGACAATATTGTGGATACATTATCCAAAATCAATATTGCTCTTAGTAATCTTTCAGTATATTTTTCTTATGTAAATTTGGAAATCAGTCCTTCTAAAAGCAAAATGGTAGTGTTTAGTAATAACAATTTAAATATAGACTCATCTAGTCAGGTGAAATATATGAGCGCTATTATTCCAGTAGAGCCAGAAGCAAAATTTTTAGGTGTAATATTTCAAAATAATTTAAGTTTTAAAAAATATGTCGATTGTGTAACAGATAGAGCCATGATGTCCACTAATATTCTCAGATCTTTGGTCGGCACTACTTGGGGAGCAGACCCTAAAATTCTGTTAATTCTTTACAAGTCGCTGGTCCGAACGCATTTTGAATATGCGTTCTTCTGTTTTTGTAACAAAGAAAAATATGTTGATAAATTAGAAAAACTCCAAAATATAAATTTAAGATTAATTTTGGGAGCCATGAGCACATCACCAATAAATTCGTTGCAAGTTGAATGTAATATACCCATTGCCGTTACGTTTTGAATTGCTAAAACTTATGTTTTTACTGAAACTTTATTCTGTTCATGATAACCAATTATTACATAAATTAAAAAATCCATCCTCTCCTAATAATTTCCTCTCTAATAATATAACTGAAATTATTAAAAGTCTACATAACTCCAACATATTTATTAATCAGAAATTAGTTCACAATAGCAATTCATATGATTGTAATTTTTTTAAAACCCCCATTTTTATAAATAAGAATTTACATAATAAATATGATGTCTATGATTACATATCTCAATGGAACAATTATAGGCATATGTATACGGATGGTGCTAAAAATAAAGACTGCACGGCTATTGCTGTTTATGATGCCAAGGAAAAAATATCATTCGGTACAAAAATATCGAATAAAGCGAGCATATTTACTGCTGAAGCTTACGCTATTATCTCAGCGCTAGACTATATTGGTGAAACAAACAATAATGATAAATGGGTCATATTAACGGACAGCATGAGTGTCTTGTTGGCCCTTGCGAATGTTTCTTCTAGTAAAACATCTTTCGTTATACAAAATATTCAAAGGAAAATATATGATTTTAAAAAACGGCTTAATATGGATATTAATCTTATCTGGACTCCAGCTCACGTTGATGTCACTGGCAACGAAAAAGCTGATGAACTGGCTAGGTTCATCACAAACTGTCAAATTCAAGGAAAAGAAAAATACATGTTAATCCCAGCTTCAGATTTTATCGTTGAAATAAGAAAAACAATTAAAACTAAATGGAAACAACAGTGGGAAGAATCTATAAAAGTTAAAGGGAAATGGTTCAGAGAAATACAGCAAGAATTTAAAAAGCCATGGTTCGTTCAAGGAAAATATGTGGAAAGAAAATTTTATTCAATTTTATGTCGTCTTAGAATTGGACATGGAAGATATAAAAAGCATTTGCATAGGATGAAAATGGTTTCGTCTCCTATATGTGATTATTGTTCTGCCGACGAAGATCAATCATTAGATCACTTGTTTTTTGAATGTCAACATTTCGCAATCCAGCGATTAATATTTATTGATAAATTGATCAATATATATGATAAAATGGAGATCCCGCGCTCCATCCAGAATTTATTAAAGAACACAGAAACATACAAACCCATTTTCGAGTACGTAAGAACAACATTTCAAGATATATAACTACTGAAGACAAGTATTAGAAAAAAAAAAAAAACGAAAATATTACTGAAGACAATGGCTGTATGGGCTGAGTCCTTTTGCCTTTCCCTAAAAAGGGAAAAACAGAACCAAAAAAAAAAAAAATCGGATGGGCAAAATCACAAATTTTGAATAGTGAACTTGTTTTTATTGCTTAAAACTCAAAATCTTAATAAATATGGCATTATATTAAATAACTTAATTTTCACATTTAATTATGACCAAGTAAGTCTTTGTTATACATATATAGTTTTCTTCTTTTATATTTTGCATTGATAATATTACAAACACAGAATTAATAATAATATTTCTTTGAGTTATTTCTTTTAAATTTCAGTCTTTACTTCGATATTAGGGATGATCAGTGGCCGTTGGTATATGATGAAAAATACAATGTATCAGTTTTTGGTCTTGAAAGATTTCATGTATTCGATGCTAAGAAATGGCGTAACATTATTCAAGTAAGTATCTTGGACGTTAATTATTGCGTGGTCAGATAATTTCTGACCACGCAATAATTAACGTCCAACTCTTAAATCATCTATAACAACAGTTGGAAACTTTTTGAAATAAAAGAATTTCCATTAAACAAATATTATTATAACAAGGATAATTAGTAATTAATTTACTTAAAAACTATTTTATGAAACAATAAAAAACACAAAAAACAAAATTGTGAGTTTTTAATCCAATTCTTTATCCTGCACCTCTGTTTTAAATAAAATTAACCAAAAGTATTTAAAGTTAAAGCAAAATAAATTAACTTCATATTTGCATTTATAATTAAGGTAAATTAGGTAAATTAGGTATTTAATTAGTTAATAGTTACATAAATTATTTACATTGATAATCACAACTTTGAATGGATTAATTTAAAAATATATTTATCAACTTTATTTATTTAATAAATTTATTATAGTCCTTGAACTGTAGTAATTAATTTTTTACATCATGAATGTAGGAGGCTATGTGTATATATATATCTGTTTATTATGATTTTTAAAATAACAATGGAGTGTCCATTGTTATTTTAGATATAATTAATATTGGTTATTTATTTTATTTAATAAGTGATAGATGGGTGACTTACACACACTATGTATACAAATAGACTATTACATTATCAATAATATAAAACAAGTAATTATTAAAGATCAAGGACAATACTTGCCTTATTAATTTATGACTTGTCCAATATTTCATTTCAGTATTTAAAAGATGCAGATTTCATAACAGATGCCTGTTTAGTGAAGCCACTTCCAGCGAAAAAGAATGATCTTCTTGTTGTTCACACTAAAAGATACCTCAAGTCTTTAAAAGTAAGGAATAATTGAACTGAAATTTAAGTGTAAATATGCTATATTATTTTATCATGAAAATAATCAAATTTTACATACAAATGCATGTGTGAGTGTAATGCAAGTATGATTCTTTATGTAAAGCAAGTTATGAAACTGATGAAAGGAAATGAAATGATATTATGGATCTCTGTGGCTTATGGTTGTGTCTACTTTTCTTTAAAAAACTAGGTATAATATATGTATATAACTAGGTATATATGTATTATTATGTAGATGTACACCATATATGTACATTTCTTTTATACCACACTGGTGGCAAGCTAATGTAAGTGGTTATTGTATAATGTATATATCAAAATATTTGATTGGTGATATGTGAAATACATTATATTTCTTTGCAGTGGAGCACCAATGTGGCGATAATAGCTGAGGTACCTGTAGTAGCTTGTCTGCCAAATATGTTTGTACAGTGTGCATATTTGAAGCCAATGAGGTAATAGATCTTTGTATTTCTTAACACAAGTTTCTGCTATTGCAGCAATAGCTGTTTCTTTATTTGTATCATACATTATGCTAATTAACCTAATACTGCATAATATTAAGTATCTTGGAAAGTTCAATAGATATACATCACAACATTTCATAAGGAGAATCCATGGAGTTTAACCAGATTTTTGAATTGTTTGAAATGGAACCACTTTTATCCTTCATAATGATAATAACGTCACATCAATTGTGTATATTCAACTTGATTAGATGTATAAAGTACCTTGTGTTGTTTAGAGATGGGGTTGGTAGTGAGAATTGACCTTTAGTAAAACTCTTACTTTACCTACCTTAATAACTTGTCTGATGCCTCCTCTCAGTTTGAATTGAATATTTTTGACTTCTACTGAGGTAACAATAACTTTAAGATTAGCCTTTTTGTTATTAATTTGCGACCTTGCTTTGGATGGATGCATTACAAATCTTTGAATTTCTCGGCTGGTTGTATACTATAACACACATGTCTTATACATATAAACCTTCCTCTTGAATAACTCTATCTATTGCTGAAAACTAGAAACAAGGGAACAGACAGTGGCGACTTTGTTTTATATAAAATTAATTGTTTTATATCTAAATTTATAAAGTGATTTGGTTTTTATCCAGATTACAAACTGGAGGGTCAGTATTAGCAGGCAAGCTGGCTTTGGAGAGGGGATGGGCGATTAACGTGGGAGGTGGGTTTCACCACTGTAGCAGCGATAAAGGGGGTGGGTTCTGCCCTTACGCCGATATTACCTTGCTTATACGATTCCTCGTCATGAATGGCTTGATACAGAATGCAATGATTGTTGATTTGGATGCACACCAGGTTGGTAACAGAATAGCAGATTTTTATAGATTAAACAAAAAATAGGTTTAGCATTTTAATAGGTATTGAATGAGTGAATGTTATAATTTAATATTTGTGTCATAGGATATTTGACACAAATATTAAATATGTCGCGAACTTTCGTTAAACAATCTAGTGACGGTAGATGAAGAAAAAACTGCTGTCACCTATCTACATTGACATCGCTGTTACTCCAGTCAACTCGTGACCACGGCTAGTGCAACCTAGTCGAAACGTCGAGAGGCGTAAATACCTTTATTTTCCATAAAATTATTCGTGTTAAGACCCGGTTAATAATTTAAATAATTTTAAATGTTTGGAAAAGAATGACTGAAAGTTTATATATTTGGTTACTACACTTACCCCTAATTGTTTTAGATAAAAAATAACCTATCATTCAGATACATTGAATTATTTAGTCATGAAAAGGATTTATGTTAGAAACAAACAGACAGACAGACAGACACAATATAAAATTTATAATAATAGTTTACATAAGTATAATTTGCTCTTTGAATATATTTTTTGCTCAGCTATCTTAATATTACTTTTAAGTTATAACGTTTATTTAAAGGGCAATGGTTACCAACGTGACTTCCTCGGTGTACCAGAAGTATACATAATGGATATGTATAACCGTAACATTTATCCTAAAGATAAAGAGGCCAAGCAAGCAATACGAAGAAAGGTTGAACTTGCCAACAGAGTTGAAGATTTAGAGTATATGCTCAAGTTGAGACAGTAAGTAAACTTTCAGAATATATTGTATGTTTGTGATCACTATATGAAGTCTAATGAATTTTCAGAATGCAGTAATTTTTTTTATATAAAACTGAAATCAGTATTAGGTTATAAGGGTCAGCTTTTCTAGGATTCAAATAACATCGTCATATATATAAATAATGTGGTAAAAAAGGGTAACTTCACCCTTAACAAACTAAATTCGACTTCCTTGTCACACCTAGCCATTTTTTATGTAACAAAAATAGCAGCCTATAATAATAACAATCCAGGATAATTCACACATCGCAATCTAGTCTCAAGCTAAGCACAGTTTGTGTTATGGCCAGACAACCGATATAAATATCGATGATAATTATTTATTTATTTATGTTTTGGTTACATTTGTTGAATGTGTACAATAAAGAGGTAATATTGTTTTCAGAAATCTAAAGGCTGCACTAAAAGAGTTTAAGCCAGATATTCTGGTGTACAATGCTGGCACTGATATTTTGGATTCTGATCCTCTTGGTCATATGCGGATTAGCGAAATTGTAAGTTCAAATCTTTACTGGTGTTACAAACTAGCATATTTATGTTTATCCTGTACTAATATAATAAATGCCTATGTAAAAACTGTATTCTTCAACTAACTACATCTAGGGATGTGTAAAAAATTGAGGAAACATTTATCACATAATTAGTCTATGTATATATTGTGACGTGTCCACCCGTGATCAGGATGTTTGTAACAGCGTTTAAATATCGGGAACTCTGAAATAATATTATCATCTTTTTACGAAATGCAGTAGTTTGTGATTGTGGATGGCTGAGTGGATGTTTGTAATTCTTTCACGTAAACACTATTGAATGAAACTACAATAGCTTATACGAGCATATCAGAATAACACATAGGCTATAAATTTCACCCGGTTGAAACTATGGGCACAGGTACAGCTGGTGGTAAATATAAATAGATAGATAAGAATTTTTATTTGTATCTTAGTACACTCATATAGGTTTAATTACAAATAGTATATAATACAGATTATTTAAACCAATGCAATACATAACCTGCATGTGTGTGCTAGAGCAATACAAAATGGCTCATCGCTCAGTGTGGAAAAACACTCAAGGTGCAAAACACTGATTTTCAGCTATGTCCTCAGAATGTACTTTTAAAAACTAACTGAATTAACTTAAAAACAATAAAAAAAAAACCGAACGAAACAATGTGTGTATGATTGTACAACATTATTTTTAGGGAATCATAAAACGCGATGAATTCGTGTTTGAAATGTGCAAAGAACAAAACATTCCAATAGTAATGCTCACCAGCGGCGGGTACCTGAGGAACACTGCAAAGATTATAGCCGATTCGATACTCAATCTGCACAGGAAGGGACTGATAACCGGCACGTATGGTGATAATGGTGATGAAGGTATTTGAATTTCCAACAGATTATGTAAGGGCTGAAACATACTAGGTACTTTTAGGGGTTGTTTCGAACATATTTCTCTGCATTCCTCTAACAACAATCATCTAATAAACTTATTTTAAATATTAGAAAGGTTTTGTCCTGTACTTAATAACTATTTTGTTGTTTTGTAAGAATGGTGACAAAACATTGTAATAGTGAAAATTGGGTTTTTGTGATTTTAGTTTAGTATAATAAGATATAAGGATAGTCTCTGCAAACTAAATTCATATTTATAATTTAGTTTCTTACTAGACTTCTACCACTATTTTTAAACGACTCTAAAAATCACCATATTTAATAATAAAAGTGTATTTTTCTAAATTACTCATTACGAATATGTGTGTATGCTTTGAACTTAGCTAATTATGAATCTATTTGGATGAATTTCTAATTTATTTTTATTTGTAATCGAAAAATTATTTATATTCGAATGGTGAGTGTTGTTTATTTTTAGACGTAGTTTCTATGTACTTATACTAGAATTGGTATAAACAATTATCTCAAATGAATTTAGTAGATTGCATAGCATATATAGAGAAACCGAAGATTGATGATAGTAGAGTCAAAGATATACTTTCTTCTTTTAACTCGTTACTCCCTTCTCCACGCATCACTGCTATGGGAGCTATGTGTTTAACATAGGCAACCCTTGATCGCATAGCGTCCAGTGGTTGTCAAAGGTAGGCGTACTTAAATAAGTGTTATTATTACACAAAATATTATTTAAATGATAATGTATTTTATATAATATTTGTCTGATTAGTAATGTAATTTAAAATGACATAATTTTGAATAATGCTAACATTCACAAAATATTATTGTAATTTTTTCCACACCAGAAACGGTAGGACATGTTTGGAATAATAATAATTTTAAGATTGGTTCGAGGAAATAAATTGAATTGAATCAGACGGTTCACAATGAATGGATCCATTAGTATTAGTGGATGCAGTTGTAAGAGTTTCTATGCATAGAGTACTAAAATCCTTTGCATCGATGTGGAATGTGGGTGCCTACTTCGAATGTACAATGTACGTATATAAATACTATATACATATTTTTTAGTAGGAATGTCTATCTCAGTAGTTTATGTTATCGAAGTGTCGGAACGATACAGATAAGTGGATGCAATTGTAAGAGTTTCTATGCAAAGAGTCTTAAAATGCGTTGCATTTGATTCGACAGCGTTAACTGTGGGTACCTACTTTAAATGTACTAAAGTACTTATATAAATAGTATATATTTTTTGAGATGCGTCCGTGTGATGTCGATTAGTGGATGCAGCTGTATGTGTTTCTATGCAAATAGAACTAAAACCCGTACCTACCTGTGAGTACCTACTGCAAACGTACTAAAGTACTTATATAAATATTACATTTATTTTGTGATAACCTTGTGTATATGTACGAAATGGATGCAATCGTAAGTGGCAAAGAGAACCAAAATCCTTTGCGCTCTTGGCAGTGGAATGTGGGTACCTACTTATAATTAAATATTATATTTATTTTGTGATAATGTCGATCTCATTAGTTATACGAAGGCGATACAGATTAGTGTCTGCAGCTGTAAGAGTTTCTATGCAAAGAATACTAAAATCCTTTGCATCGATGTGGAATATGGGGGTGCCTACTTCAAATGTACTAAAGTGCTTATATAACTATTATATATTTTTTGTGATAATCTCGATCTCAGTAGAAATACGAAGTGCCAATTGTTTTATAATCGTTGCAAATGTAATTTGCCTCGTTAAATGAATCTAAGTTTTCTAGATCTCCATTGATATATGTGATATATTTATTTTATATATGTAGTTGCTTCTAATATTTATATTTCTAAATAAATACTATTTTTCCCATATATATGGTTTCATTCAATAACATCACTTACGTACAGGGTTTCTGGAAGATAGGATCCCTTTTATCTATCCTTATCCTTTTTAAAGATTGTATCACATTATTAGAAGTAGATATAAATAAATTACGGTCTCGGTGGTGTGGCGGTTTTGGTCACTACCTAATGTAACTAATAGCGGGTTCGATTCCTTGCATGATAAAAACATTTCTATTTATGGGTATGTATGTAACTTTCAGTGTGTTTTATGCATTTACAGAAAATGTAATGTAATGTACGCATAGTACAAGTTCTGCTTCAGTTTGGAACTAGATGGCGTTGTGTGCATTTTCAGGTTTCTGTTATGAAATGAAAGACAATATAGAATATATTTTTTTATGTAACGATTAACAAGGAATCACGTTGTAACAAATAAAAAATTAACGTTGCAAATAATCTAATAATTAAATAAGAGAGAATTTTCAGTCACGTGTATTTACCAATTACTAAAATTTGATTCGTAAGTGTTTAAAAAAATCAGGTGATTGCGAGGCTATTCACTAAGGAAACACCTTTTGATTTTGCAATAATGACAAATTATTATCATAAGAGGACTACTTGACCCTGAAAACGTTGATGGTAGGGTCAAAATGTAGGGTTGTATGTATTTTTTAATGCCGAATCGTAAAATCATACATTTAAAAAAATGTCATAATAAAAAGAAATATTTAGGTATGGGTCACCCTTATCTTTGAGGGGTATGAGAAATAGATGTTGGACGATTCTCAGACCTTCACCTACCCGATATGCACACAAAATTTCATAAAAATCGGTAAAACTGTTTCGGCGGAGTTTGGTAACAGACACCGCGACACAGGAATTTTATATTTTTAACAGGATAAAAATTTTGGTATTATCAAAAACAATTGACAGAATCTGGTGTTGAAGTATGAATCAAAATATAGATACCTATGAATAATACTTGACTCTGAAGTGTTTAATTAATTCATTAAAGTACCGAAGTCATAACACCATTTAGCGGTTGTGGGATAATAAATAACTCAGTCGTTGACCGATCGAAATATATACATATTGTTATCAAGCTTCGGCAGATTGGGTCAATTTGATAATATTTGGCTAATTCGGCAATATTGGGGAAAAATACTGAAGCACAGTTTTTGCTACGAAATAAATTTTTAATTAATAGAAGCAAAAAAAGTAATACGATACAATGAATGAAACGCTATTCAGCATTATTTTTATATTGCACAAAATTTGTCATTAAAGCTATAAAGTATAATCTAGAGTGTTGATAAATACTTAGGTCCGTGGAGATGCGACTACCTACTTATAGTATGTATGTATATGTGAACACTTTGGGACCTTGTCATAGTAATATTCTTAACCATATCAAAAACATTATTGTAATGCTGTCATTACGACAAAAATACAAAACTGTTTAATATATAAACAATTTGGGACCTTGTTACAGTAATATTTTTGACCATACCAACATTACTATAATATTAATATTACGACGAAATACAAAACTGTTTACATGTTAGGGCAGGCGCTGTACACACGTTGTTATCTGCCTAAATAGAACAGAATTGTATTCCGTAAAAGTCCCTTCACATGAACATTTTAAATAGACCAATTGGGGCCAAAATTTCTAAATTATTTTGTAACGACAACTACATATTTGTTATAATGCCAATAAACTACTGGTATATAATGCCATATTAACAGCAAGCAACATGAAATTGTTAGGTATCTTTGAAAACAGTTATGCAACACAGGAGCGTACCCATCTAAACCAAGGGGAGGAAGTTTGCTTTCGGCCGAATGGCAAGTTAGTTTTTCTCCTGGTGCAGACGTCAAATATGTATTAATTAGTAAGTCAAATATTATAATAGGTCTGGTCGTAGTTTTTTATGCGTAATATATTGTAACAAATATAATCATCAGCTGCTGTCCCCCACTCTCTTTCTGGGTATGTCTATGATCTAGTATGTAATACTTTAAGTATTAGACTGCCCGTGTACCTAAGGTTCGTATCATGTCCGCTGTGAAGTGACTGGCAATTTTCCTTCGTGTGCAAAAACCCCTATTCAGAATATCTACATGTATAGATATTATATGATATTTTTTTTTATCTAGTGGTCGTGTTGAACTGTGAGTAATAATCGTCTGTTGGTATGTTGTTGTACATTACATCGCGGTAATATTTTTCCTTTTCCTTCTGTTGTAGAGCCAGCAGCTGGTTTTCCTCCATGAGCTGACGGGCGATGTCTCTGTTATGAGATACAAATACGTATTTAAAGTAACTGTTACCTAGATTATTACTTGTGGTTAGATATATCCTATGTGCCCGAATTTTAATAATACAGTTAAAATTTCATTAACATTGGATCAGTCGGTTAGCCGTGAAATGGTAACAAACCAAAATATATAATACAGACTGACAGACACTATCGTATACTAATATTATTAATAAAAAGTTGTAGTGTGTTTGTTTTTCTGTCTAAACGACTTGGCTTAATAAAATTCTACATGAAGATCTTAAGACAGTCTGTATCAAGAGGTCAGGAACATAAGCTATCTCTTACCGCAAATAATCTGTGAGCGGGTGAAATTGGGTATGAAAATAAGTGTACATAAAGTCGCGGGTAACAACGTTTTTTATAATATTAATATGAAGTAGAATGGATAATAATGCTGATTCTACTCGTAGTGAGTAGTTTTTTTCCATATTTTTACATGAATCAGCAAATCATGTGCTGCTTTGTTCGGCCTGTTGTATGGGCCACTTTTCATCTGACGTTATAAGTGATTATTTAGACATAATATAACAAATAATATATGCAGTATTTACAAAAATGAATGCCTGAGCTACATATATGATTGAGCTACATAGTAGAATGGCAGGAAAGGTAGAAAAAATCCCGAAGAATTATGTTTGCAGATAAAGAAATGATTTGTAGGTATTGTTTTACATAAAGTCGAAGCGTAATGGAAATTATTCTATATTATTAGCTTGATATTAAAATACCTTCTTGTTCTTTGATTGGCGATGTCTTGGCGCGCGACTTCTCTTTGTATAGATTTGGCCAAGGCTTGCCATTCAGCGTCCATTTTGTCTTGTTCATCTCTTTTAGCCTGAAAGGAATGTAATAAGATGTTTCTTCAGTTGTAGCACTAAGAAATCTCAACGGTAAATGATTGGTCAAATTTTAAAGTGCTATACCTATTAAACCTAATTAAGTGATTCACAACAGAGAGCATAGAGGTAGACTTTGTAAAAAAAAGCGTCTGGCGTAGCTATTTCAGGCGAGGGAAAGGGGATTGTTAGTAATAACATGATGCTACGATGGGCTAACTGAACTCACCTAATGCTCATTTATACCATTATCATCACCATCATCATTAAAAAAACCTATTTCAGCCGCCAAGATAAGACACAAAATTATAGGAAAAAAGTCGTAACATCTTAGTCATCACATGATTACATCATGTTACCTCTATATTTATTATATAGTAACCAGGACGACATGAACATTACTTAAAATCGTATTCGGAACTGTCCCTTTGTATTGCAAACTCCTTTGTATACATATTGACTTGAATGCGAACGCTACGTAACAGTACTAATGTTTACTTACCTAGTGTGTTATATTATTTTTATAGGATAGTGTTCAGTAAGTTCTAACATATTGTTCTAATATCTTGGAATAATGGAACCATTCCACTATTGTATTTACCTTAGCTGCCGCCATTTGTTCCTTTTGTGCTGCGTAGAATTTCTTGAGTTCCTCCTGATTCATCCCTTTGTACATAAAGCCAATAGCTCTGAAACAAAAGTTAAATTAGATCAGTGTAAGTAAACAAATTAATCATGCCAACCAAGTAATTTCTTAGAATCTGTATAATAAGATGAAGAGATAAGATTTTTTATAATTTTGCTTGATTCGCTGTTCTTTTTTATATTTATTAATTGCATATATTTGGATTTACAAATTCTTAGGCTTCTGCTGTGATTTGATATAATCTTTATATATACATATATATTTATATATTTTTATTATAATAGACTTTATATCGGTCTGAAGGCACGGCTAGAGATCTGAACCTTGGTTTAGGCCGTCATAATTGAGATATACGTCGGTCATCAATTCGACATTTTCTTAAAAAATCTACTTTTAGATTTTTCCACGAATATTTTTATAATTTACAATGTTGTAATTTACATTTTAGGAAAATTGTACTATTTAAATTAGTAGAATAGTAGATTAATTTAGAAGATAATAACCATATAATAACTTAAAAAAAAGAGTTAATGCTTATCTATTAAATCGTATCTCATAGAACTGCAATAAGGCTCATCATCATTATCATCTTATTGATATGTGTAGTTTATTTATAATATATATTATATGTATGTATCACAGATAACATAATATGTATGTTATATTTTATTATGTATATATATATCTATAGTATTTAATATATTATATATTTTTATTTAATTAACTAAATTGCGTTTGAGTATCTCTACACTCCCTAAGGTTAGCTAGTAGAGAATACAATTAGCATTAAGCCCGCCTATTGTACAATTCAATGAAGTTTAAATAAATAAATAAAATATAATTGAATCCTTGAAGAGAGGAAGAAGTACTTATTTAACGTTTTTGCGTATTATGTATAATACTAAGACTAGAGAATTGCGTGCAGGTAATTGGATAGGTTTTAGTATATCCCACCTCTGTCATTATAAAAAATAATTGGTATTATGAGTACTCGGGCATTTACTAAGATTTCTCGTGATCGGAATAACACAAAAAATACATCAAGTGATTTCAGGTGTTTTGGGATGATGATATAATAGTAGCTCAGTCGGGCATGTTCACTAAAAATAAATAGTTTCTAGAGAGAAACAACAGACTTAGATGGCATATTGCTAGCAATGGGCTTACTAGTAGGTAGAAATTGGTTCTGTCAAATACTTTGGTAGACTAGTATTGCCTATTTTTTACGAGTAGGTATATGTGTTTTAGTTAAGCTAGACTTTTGGAAAAGGTCAAATGAAGTGTGGTATTAGTCTATTATTGGATTAAAGATTAGTTTATTATGGATGCGATTCCAATAATTGAAAGAACAGTGCCCTGTTTTTACTTCTACTTTCTTAAAAAGATTTCACTTAATGCATCATTTTCTTTTTAATCATTTTAATTAATTAATTAACGTGTGTGTGTTAATGACTATACAGCACCTGTTTTTGCCAAGGGCGCTCTTGGCAACGTCTGGATTCTCTGTGAGCATATCCGAAGTGAGGTTGTTGTACATTTCTGCTGTGTTGTCTGCTTCTTCTTGCTCTTTCATTATCTGCTCCAGTTGTTTCTTTTCCGCTGCCTAATAATATTTTTATTTCGTTAATTTCAGAGATATTAAATACTTACGAATGAACTTGGGAAAATGTTTAAATTTGCAATTGAATGTGATTCATTGATTCGCTTTCGATGACTCTATTTAATTGGTAGCAATATTCCCATATTTCTTTCATACAAATTTTTATAAGATTAAAATATTTCTTTTTCCCCTTTTTAGAAATTTCTCCTATAGATACTGATTATTCAAATTAATCTATTCAATCGATAATCTATTATAGCATATATACGCATAACAGTCAGTAAACATACAAGAAATGCATCTATTGACAGCGGATTTAGAAATATTCAGTGATTTCTCTTTCTTTTGTCATATATTTAATAAATTGTTCTATCTCTATTATATTCTATCATCATTAAATATATCCGAACTGTTCGTTATTTCAAAAAGGGGCATACCAGAGCCTCATTGTAGCGTAAATTGGCTTGGCCCAATCTGTAGCGACATTCACGTTCCAACTTGTCCAGTTCGCTGGCACGTTCATCACGAGCTTTTATGGCCATCTGCAGATAACAATAACAATAATTTGTATAATTTCATGATTATTATATTCATAAATTATCTTTACGGCTTTTTTCCTGATGGGGTTGACAACATTTTTGCATTGTCATGTTAAATGCAACGGCGCTGGCGCGGCGCGGTCCTTAGCTGCCGCGCCATTGCGGGATATAATAAAATAAATAAATCCCCTAGTTTAAATATATTATTAACGGTGTATTTTTACAAGCCAGCATATTATCCAATATCAATTAAAGTATTCACAAATACAATTATTAGTAGTTATTAGTAGATAATTGTTACATCAAGCAATGTAGACCTCCGTACGGCATCTCTGGAAACCATTGTAGTTAATTCCTGGTGAATTCACAACGATGGACTAACTGACTTGACTTTATACTCATACTATCATCATGTACTAGTGCTCCAACGACGTATACTGGCAGAGCAGGCGGGTGCACCAATGTGTAGTTATATATCCATTAATAATATACTTATAGTTGAGTTTTTTTTAATTGAGTAAGTTTTACTTTCTGTTTAGACATTATAAACAAACTAATGAGTGTTTCCTTACAGTGTTAAATAGAGTAGAGACATATATTTCTATGTATATATGAAGAACTGAAAACTAAAGCGATGATAACCATGTAAGCGGCTTCGGCCTTTTTTCTTTCTTCTTCAGCTGCCTTCCTCTCTTGAACTTGTTGCTCGAGCCATGAATTCTTTTGCGCTGCCATTATCTTCCGGCGCTCCTCAAAAGCCAGATCCTCACCCTCAAACCTGGTTAGCATAGTGTGCAGTATATATTATATATTAGTAGTTTTTGCTAGCGGCTTCTCTAGAGTTAACTACCGTAATTTAAAGTCTCCTAAAGATTATTGATTTACAAAAAATCATGGAATACATATGTATTAACGGCGAGTATCACGACGAAATATCAAGTCTCAAGTCGGAATATCTACTTATTATTATTTCGCGATGTAATTTTTTATTTACTTTCATTAAATATTTCCCTTAGGAATTGATTTCAGAATTGAAGTTTAATCGTATAGAACAGATTTGGAATATATATTTAATGCATGCGAGTACAATATTTATGCGATTTATTATACTATTTAAGTAATTCATTTTTATTTAGAAAAATTGTGCGAAGATCGTATTTAGTTCCTACTTACAGATTATACGGATGTTTTCTATGGGACGATAATGTGCGATGTAAAGGGCGCCATTTAGTATACGCCAGTAGAAGCTTGATCATCTAGATAAACATATTGTAAAATGATGGACTAACTTTTGAGCACTAGACAAGCCCACCGGCTCTCCATCCGAAGTTCTTGGAGGCAACTGCTTCTTTAGAACATCAGGGTCATTTAAATCAAATTCGCGGCGGTCTTCTGGGCGTTGGTACTTTTGTCGAAACTGGTCAATTTCCACACCGATCCGACGGCGCTCCTGTAAGAATTCATCTATGCTTCTCATAGATATTCTTCAAAACCCTGATCAGCAGTGGTTAGGTTCCTGAGATAAAATGATCTTCATGATAAGCGATATAGCTAGGATAAATCAGTCCATCCATCAATTAAGCTATTTAATGAACTATAACATTAATAATATTCGTTTTTAATTGAATTTAAATGGCAAATAAGTGGCCTAACTAATGGTAATTAGTAACAGTCGCCTAAATAAAGAAAAGCGCAAAGTACTTCATTCCACTCAGCATTGCCATACCGGCGGTATAAGATGTTAAACCTGAAACTGGTCTAAAACTCTGTAATTTCACTACCATATGTCACTCTCCAAGCAAAACATTGCTTGCTTAGAAAAAGTTGTTTTGTAGTTGACTGAAAATGGTGAGATACACGAGATAGACATATCACAAAGTCTGCATTAGTAGACTTTGTGATATGTCTATCTCTGGTATATTCAGTATAGTACTGTGTTGTAAGTACAATACCTCATTCTCTCTAGCTTCTAGTACCACGGCAAGATTGCTGTCCTTGATCATCTGCTGCGCGAACGCGAGATCTCGACGCCGCTGTTCATCATGTTCTACTTGTTTCTCTGCTATTTGACGCTCTAAGAAAGGAACGTCCACCTGCAAACAAAAGGTAGGTACTTATTATCCATACATATAGATTCATGTCATTAAGCCTGTCAATAATTTTTTTTTTTTATTTATACTCTTTATTACACCAATTACAGAACAAAAACAAAAACAATTAAAATAGAAAATATATAATATAATATAATATAATAATCAAAATAATATAATAATAATCAGAGTAGCCAGGGATAATGAAATGTTAAACATTTCGACATTTTCTATATAAAACCAGATTTGATCGGACGATCTGAAATTACTGAGGAAAAATTGGATAGTATAGGGATTACCTTGATTCCTGAAGGGATATAGGAAGGCCGTAGGGCGCTTTTAGGTCGATGGGCTCATTTGCATGAAACGCATGCGGTGCGTATTTTGCAGATTAAATAATAAACATGTTTAGGTGTATAATTGAGGGAAGAGTTAAGAGAGAGCACTTTATCGTAGTTAAAAAACGCAACAGATATCTAAGTACATATATTGAACTATTTAATATAATAACAATAATAATAATCTCAGGACAATTCACACAGCGCCATCTAGATCTAGCGCATGTAGCGTGTGACGTAACATCATTTACAAACAATTATACTCATGAATACAAATGTTTGTGCGTGTTGGATATAGATACACCCATAAAATACAAGAATATAGAAGAATACATCTTATCTTTCTAAACTAACTTCAAAATACCTTTAGCAAATCTTTTTTAAAATCACTTACACCAATTTTTCTATTCCTAGCATTAAAAATTCTGGATCTTCTCTCAAGTTCGCATTGCCTTCTTCGCTCTCTATTCTGTGCTTCCTTACGATCTCTCTCATTACATATTTGCAGTTTCAACATTTTAAAAGATATTTATTTTATCAAAATATTTATAGCAGCTTCAAAAATTCTAATACAAAAGTAACTTTTATTGAATAAATACCTAAATGAATTATTGCGTTGTCATGGATACTTTTTTAGTGATGTGTGGCGTGAATGCGCAATGCAAAGGTCATTTCAAATGAATGCACAGAACGAGTAATGAATCATTAAATTTGGAAGCATATTCTTCGGATACTATATATTTCAGATTAACAGGTTCTTGGGGTAATTGTTGTAAAAAAATTGTTAATTTTGTTGTTTCTTATTTTGCTTATGCTATGTAACTCATATTCTTCGGGTGTAAAGGATGTTGCAAGTTGACAGTCAGGTAGCTTTTCAACACGTAGAACACCAGTTCTTCCCAAACTTGTACTTTGTCATTAAATTTTATATGCCCATATGACTCTGTTACCCTCAAATCAAATTAAAAATGATTTATTCATGTAGGACATTTTAGCCGCTTAAGAACGTCAAATTAAATATATTAAAAAATCCTTTATTAAAATAAACTTAATTTAAGTTCTTTTGAATAGTCATCACAATATTGTTAATCCAGCCCTCATTTCGAAAGCTGTCTCATCACAAGAAGAATGAGCAATAGACTTGGGTTGTGCGTTTTTTAATAATCGTATAATGTATCGACATAATGTATAGCATTATGTCTATTTGGGAAGAAAGTAAATATATTATTATTATTAAATTTCATAAATTTATATTTATACGTTAAGTAAGTACCTATATATAGTAGGTAGTGAAATAAACGAATATTATGAATGTATTAATTGAATTAATGTTTAAATGAATGTATTACCTCAATTGATATATTTAGGTAACATCCATAATCGTCACTATTGTCTGTGAATGGTTAACTATGTAGATACATTTTTAGCTATTTATAGATATTTCTAGCTGGGTCCGCGGTTTTACCTGCTTGAAATTTATCGCCTATGTGCTATTCTGAGGTATAAACTATATTACTGTAAAGTTACAATAAAATCCGTTCAATAAATTTTACGTGAAAGAGTTAAAAACGTCCATCCATACTCACAAACTTTTATGTTTATAATATTAGTAAGATACAAAAATGCTTTTATTAAGCAAATAAAAAAATAAAATAAAATAAAAGTTTTTTTGTAGAAAATATTTAAATTACTATACTAGTCAATAAATTATATTGAGGCCAGTGTAATAATGGTAGATCAAAATACTGATTCCTGTGCTTTTTCTAAGGAGCAGTGGAACGTTAATAATGTTATTGTTATTGCATGGTAGTAATTCCTGCATGTACTTGATGTATAAAGTAATAATTTATTTGTCTATCTATCAGAACAACCATAACAAAAATGACTTTAGTCATTATTCGGACTAAAATCCGTAGGATTAGTCGATTATTTGTCCTGTCATGGTTACAGACAATAATTCTACTGTTTTCTTTTACTCTACTAGTACACAATATCTGTGGTTACCAATCCATACTAATATTATAATTTGGAAAGCAAGTATGTATGTCTATTACCCTTTCACGATTAAACGGCTGAACAGATCATTATGAAATTTGACGTAAAGATAGATTGTATCATGAGAGCTTACAGCTTGTAACTGCTTGTAAAACAGAAATTCCTGTTTCTCTGTTTATAATAATATTGAGAAATGATGTAAGGAATTAAAGAACTTTTATTGTTACGAGTAAGATTTATATTTTGACTACCGTCGGTATGGCCTACTTTAAACAATAAGATACACAGTTCGATTCTTATTAATGGCAATGTCATGTTGCGAGTTATATTACCAGATGCTAACTTATTTTTCATAATAGGTACCTACCTAATAACGATAATAAAATATATGAGATTAAAATTTACTACGCATGGAGTGAAATCAGCGTCTGGAGGGAGCGATGATAATGATTGTAAATTATTTCGAATCTGGACATACGAGTTATTTCTCCAATATAGAGTAAAGAACATAACCAGTAAAAGTTTGAAAGACGTCTTTCCAAACAACTTTGAAATATACCAATTCGTTTAAATTTTCGAGCATGGCAACATTCAAAACGCGCATGTATTTGGCTTTTGTGACCAGTGACTTGCTACAAGACAACTTGGGCGTGTAGCTTGACAAACGTACTCGTAGTAGGCGACGACGAGTGCACGAACAAGGTTATCTGGCGCCCTAACGCTCACTCGCGTTCGAGCTGCGTCGTATAATCTATGGTTCGCATTCGGGAATCGGTCGCCTTAGCGTGTGTTCGTTCCGTGCGTGCGTAAACCGTATTTATAAAACGAGATATTATTAACGTGCCGTACGTTGTGGTTTCGCAATCTGTATTAAATAAACAAAACAGTGTTAATAACGGGATTTGTACATGTACAACGCGTGTTGTGTAATGTGACGTTATTATGACAAGTGTTTTGAAAAAGCCAAAAGGCGCAAAAGTTAAATCTGAATCCATGCTAGAGGACCTGCCGTCGAGATGGGGGAGTTGCTCCCATGTGAATAAAACTGACGACGTCGCCAAGTTGATCAAGTACATCGATGACAATGTTATTGGAAAGGAAAAGTCGTTTTGCGGACCATTTGGTAGACGTAAAGGTAAGAAAATTTAAATTATATAAGGATATTAATTTTGACTATAATATATTTATCTTCAACCTAAGTAAGTGACTTAGTGGGTAAACAGAGACATAAACTTCGGTACCTTGTGGGTCCACCGACTCTACTTATTAGGAGTATTCTTTAAAATTTATATTAAAGTAACTTTAATGTAAGTTTCTGTAGATATATGAATTTATTTTGTATTACCATGTCATTAGATCTAATTTTTATAATTTTAAAAGCGGATAATTCGTTGTAAGTTGCATTGTAAATACTTAATTGTTTTAGAATAATTTGGAAGATGGAAAAGACAATTTAAATTATTTACAAATAGTAATACAGAACTAGATATGTCTATACCTTCATGTTATGGATTTATCCATCTATTTTTGTGCCACGTCCTTACAGGAGAAGCTGCTGAACATAATTTGTGCGTGAGCTTTAGACTCTACGGACTCTACCTTATATGATTTTATATATTTTCACTCTGTTGTTTGTATTTACATAATTTTAATTTAAATGATTATATTATTACTATTTATTTACACTTCCTTCAACTTATTTATATTCAAATTTATTGTCGTATATTCTTAATTATAATATAACTAGCTACTCGCCCCGACTTCGACCGGGTGTACATATATTATTCATATAAACCTTCTTCTTGAATCAACTCTGTCTATTCAAAAGAACGGCTTCAAAATACGTTGCGGAGTTTTAAAGATTTAAGCATACATAGAGATGGACAGACAGCGACAGCTACTTTGTTTTATACTATGTAATGATTTTGTATATATTGAACAGGTATTTATACGAGATGCTATCTCGTATAACTGTAAAAGTAGGGTAGAAACAAAAATTTTGTCTAAGATTTCTAAGCTATATACGTATATATTTTAAAATTTTATAATATTATATAAATTATAGGATACGTTTACGTTTTATAAATACTACATTATGTACTTAATATAGTTACAATTATTAAATTTTAAATATATCATACATATTGAATGATATAATAAACCTCATAGTGAAATACCAGTTTCATATTAATAAAGATAACCCATTCTTTGTACTTTTATTAATATAGCTATTTCGAATGTAATAATTTATCTTTTCGTAACCTAGTCATAGAGGAAGTGTAAATTTAACTTCCATTATCAACAAGTACAGTACAGAGTAAACACGTGCCTCGATTTGTTCACTTGTTTGTCACCAAAATGTATGTCATCGGAACGCTGGGCGCCAAATTATTAGGTCTTGGCACTTGCATATTGGTTAGCTCTGATCAATTACGCTATCATTCTTCAATACCAGTTTCTAATAACATATCTATTTACGTAATATTAGTACATATTGTTTTGTAACTTGTTTTCTGAATAACTTTAATACTATGTTGGACTTTGTACAAAATTATCTGGGTGACCCATCCAGATTACTTTTATTTAAAGTATTACAGTCATCTAGAAACTTTCTTTGTAAAGCTGTGCTTCGGTTTGAAGGTTGAGATATGGCAGTGAAATTACAGAGTACGAAGCCATGACCCCGTAGTCCTCGGAGATAGCAACGCATATGGGATATCAGAGGTGTCACTTGATGATGAGGTATGTGTTGTCCTGTTCACATAATATACGATGTTGCTGCTTATCATAAGCTAGAGTGCCAATTGTTTGCCGTTCCACTTAAAAAGAAAAGTACATTTCTGCTGTAAATGTTAACTATTGATTGAGTTGAGTTTTACTCAATATTTTCCTCATATTTTTCAGTGAAAGGCATTTTGTCGAACAAGCGAAACAGGTTTTGAGGTCGTCAGGACAGACGGGAGCAAAAACCTGGATGTTGTTTTTTTAACTCTCCGTAATTGTTGGCTCGATGCTTACCTGAAGATAAAACGTAGAGCCATTTAAATAATTACATTTTAGAGAGTAAATTGGGCACTGGTTTTAAATATTTTCTTATTCTTCTATTATTTTTAAAAATATTTTTGTACACTTTATTATAAATTAACTATAAATATTCTTTATTCAGAAAAGAATAATTTTAAGCAGTTTCGAATGATATTATTTTATGTATTTTTTGCATATTGTAGTTATGCAAAAAAATATGATATGTCTACAAACTTTTAATAGTAGTGGTCGAAGGTAGTAATGTGGACTCATGACCCTAATACTAGCAATGTACCATGTCAGTTAACCTCCACGCGGTTCCCCCAGGAAACCATCGTGATAAATTCCTGGTGAATTTGTCACGATGGGCTAACTGACCTGACCTCATATTCAGCTTATTATAATAGTGCTCCGCCGGCGTAAACCGTCAGCGCAGGCAGATGCACTATTCCGTTATCATCCATAAAAAATGTGACATTCCTAATCAAATTCTATTTAAAAAAGAATTTATTCATGGACATTTTAGTCTTAGGAAAGTCAAGTTTATTTTATTAATATTTTTTTTATGGTACTGTGAATTAGCTTATTGTCGTTACACAAAGGATGTCAGTCTCGTGTTACACATATAGCTCGATGCATATTAATTTAAAGTGCGGAAGTGTGTTGTAATAGACAAGCGAACAAACGCATGTATTCAGTGTTCACATGTTTGATCGCGTGGTCATTAAGCATGCATTACTCATTGGACATTAGTCAATATCACTCGTTATTGTTTGTTTGATAATTCCACAAAACCGATTGTTACCTAGCATTTGGTTATATTGATATGTTCTGTATTGATCGTATCTTACGAAATATTATGGGGCGAGAGAGAGTGAGTAAGGTAATCTAGAGATGTTCGAAGATATCTTCAAGCAACTTTAGGTTCGGTATTTGTGACGCCTCATCTACTAAAGACCATATGAATTCAAAATAACGCTTAGATGTGTGGAAATAAAATGGCGACTAAATTAATTGGTTTCTCATCTACAAACCTTTTCTAAATTCTAAATTGGAATTCAATTACGACTAACTTATACTTAAAATTAAATGCTCTTGTGTTTAATTTTCCACATTTAACTTTTTATCTTATTCTTCCTTTAGAGTGTTTTTAGGTATATTTTGAGAGGGATATTATAATACTATGAATTTATGAGTGAGCAGTATAAATAATTTGCATTCAACTGCTTTATAGTCCATAATCTAAGCTTAGATATAAGCATTGCGCACATCATTCAGGCCCACTATACGATTGTATTTGCATAGAAATTAAGGCCGTTTGTCAGTAAGAGCGAGATCATGGTATGCGTATACTTAATGTACCAATTTCGTGATGACAACATTTTCATTTGAATGTCAAGTTCATCATAATGAATAATCATTCGTATCAAAGTGTATTATTTGAAATGTAGAGCAGTATATGCGATGATATATAGTATCCATTTAAGGGAGATGTGTTTACTAGAAATGATGAACTTATGACCCTCTTGCTAGCATTCTACCTTGTCTTATCGACCTTTACACAGTCTTCTGGATATCAATGTGATCTATTCAATGAACGAAATTGCAGAACGGCAATTTTATCCTCATCATTTAATATTTCATAGATGGAGATCTCCGTATCTGGTCCTTTCTTTACCCTGCCACCCTTAAATACCTGTTATAACATAAATAGATAATGAATTCATATTAAAGGCTAGTCAAAAAAAGTAACGTCATTTTCAGCTGGCCGTAATAAATAAATAATTTTTAATAGTCTATCACACGAATATTATATTTTCAACATCGTTATTAGTGATATAATAGTGCAATAAGTGTCGATTATTGTTTGTGTACAATTTGGTAGTGTATTATTTGCAAAAATCGACATCAAAATAGTGTACCGGCCATCTGTCAAACTTCTTTCGTTGGTAAACAACTAATTTTAAAACTATTTTTATTACTATTTGTTGGACTTATTCAAAGAATTTCATAATATATACAAGTTTTATAGAAATATTCACATAAAGTTAAATTGATATTAATAATTGTGAAGTTCAGTTGTTGCGTACGTCGAAGGAAAAAATATACCCACAAAATATATTAAATAACTCACTTCACTCTCCCTAGTAACTATTCATATATTCAATAATGTCACTATCTACCCGTTCCACAACTGCACGGCAGACAGAGATGAAGCTTAAAGTGGCCCTACAAGAACTTCAGGCATCCAAAGATCTCAGTGACAAGTTGATCAGGGAGAGAGAAGAGAGTGAAGATGAAATTTTAAAAATTATAAATAAAAATACCCAATTAAAATCAGAATTGTCAGAACTTCATAATAGCCATCAGGAAGTTATTGAGCAGCGGGATCAGCTTCAAGAACTAATAAGTAGCTTTCATCAATGTAGTGACACTCATGAGCAAGCCTTGAGGCGTATCACTGAATTGGAGCTTGAGTTAAAGCAGGCATATTCTAAAATCAATGATCTAGACACAAGATTGGAATCTCAACAAAATAATGAGATTAGTAATTTATATGAGGAACTTATTAGTGTTGACTGTGTGCCTCCTTCTACTACAGTTCCATGCACCCATCCTGTTGTAATTGACCTTACTAGTGATACATCACCTAAATTAGGCAACTATAACAGTAACATTTGTATGTTGAGTAATAATAAATTAAAAAAATATTTAAAACTAAAAAAGTTTATAATTAAGAATCGGAATATATTAAATAAGCGTTGCAAAAAGGGACAGTTATTGAAAAAAAACACTTTAAATAATTTAAAATTGCATGATTACATTAATATATGTAATAATAAGTTAGTGGAAAGCCAAAAGTTATATGACATTGATACAGACTACCTAACTTCAAAAATCAATAGTTTAGAATCTTCGCTTCATGATTTAAATACAAAGTATATTATCTCTCAGAAACAAATCCAGGAGCATATTTTAGCAATGGATGATCTGATTGATGTCAGTAAATACAATGCTGACCGTTTTGAGTCGTTGACTAAGCATTGTACATGTAATCACACAAATATATCAAATAATAATTCAGTTGTAACTGTGCTGGAAAATGAAGTT